AATATTTGGTAATTTAATATTAAGTACTTCAACATTTTTTATGTAACCTGAAGAAGGCTCCACGGCCGAAACGTTGTGTTCTCTTTCTTCTTTTTTTCAGCATGGAATAAACCTATTACCTGTTCCTATTTTTTATGTAATACTCATACATGGATTATTTATTATTTATAACTATTTATTGTTATAAGATTCTTTGCTGATCAAGTCTTTTTTCACTCAACAGGAAAAGCCAAGATGGATCAAGTTATGCACTTATAACAGAAAGATTTTACATCATTCGTTTGCTGTTTTATTTCAGTGTGTTAGTCTATAGTGTTAGATCAACTAACTAGTAATAAAGAAAACAAAGAAAATCCTGTCAAACTCTAAAATGTGTAGAGGTGTCATACAGGTAAAAAAATGCTTTTGCTTTTATTTATAAATAGGCAACCATTGATAAATGTACTATTTCTATGCATGGATAAAGCTCATAGAATTCATCTGAGCTTTGTGATGCACAAGAAAATGATAAAGTTACAGAGCGGGGTTATTACTGTAGGCTTCTTGTGGAATATCTTTATCTGTCACATCACTATTAATTGCTAAACCTTTCTTAATGTTTACATAAAAGTGATGAGTCCAATTTTCATTGGGATAAACAGCAAAGTTGTGTAAATGAATAGGAAGGAACACATTTAATTCACCATATATTCTGCACTTACTGTATTTGTTCGTGGTTCTTTTAAATTAAACAAGTGCAGACTGTAGTGTTTTAAAGAACCCCCTAAGAGCTGCTGGTGATACTAGTACTTATAAAGAGTAAGCTGCTTCAAACACAAGCACTGAGGGCCAAGTCGTGTACAATTGCTCGCGAGCTGCAACATTCCAAACTGGGGTTTGGCTTGGCAGCAATCCTCGGTTGAGACTAGCAGGTCCAAAGATGGAGATAAGGAGGAGATATGAACTCCGAAGAATGAATAAAGTGAAACTGATACAGTGAAATTCTGTTACCAAAGCGTGTGAAGTGCAGTCTGTTGCATTGCCTAATGGGAAATGCCTGATAGTAAAACACCATGGTGCCTTGTGTAGTAGTTCGATAGCTCTATGAGTTGTATTGTAGAAAAAAATTGCTCAAATGGCAACTTTTGTGTGCTGCCCTGGGAGAATTGAATCAGAGCTTTCTTTAATGCCGACGTGAATAGCAGAACTGCAGTGAGGCAGGGGCAGGTGTGTGAAAAGACAGGGCTTGTGTCTGTGGTTATTTTAACTGTGTCCATGGATGAGGCAAGGTTGCCTGGAAAGGAAAAAGGGGTGTATCAGTAACTCAGTAACAAGGAGTGTTTTTTTGTTTATCAGACCTAAACCATCTGCCAGGCTATAAATAGCCTAGGTTGAAAGGCAATCTTTGTAACTTGATAAAGCAACCTGAGTTTATATATACAGTGTAATCACTACATCTCATGTTACCTGACTGTGAGCATATTGACTGACAGAGACACTAGTGCTGAGATTTTTAAATTCTGGGAATTATAAAAGAAACAAACTTAACATTATTTTAAGCATTAATGCTGCAGAGACTGCAGGGATAACTCAAATGTCTTTTGACTATTGTAGATGTTAGCATTTATTAATAATAATTGTATGGAAATATACGTTTGACTACCGTGGGGCCATTATAACATGTTTTCCATGTTAGCTATTCCTATACCTGCCTGCTTTTCCTTATAAGCAATATCAAAACAGTATTTACTATATAGATGTGTGGTTTAAAACAAATATAGTTAACTACAGTATATGTTTTTTTCACTGAATGTTTAATTCCTTGAGTAGACACAGAAAAAATATTTTGTTACCTTGTTAAACATTTTTGTTTTGTTTTTCTTGCGCTTGGAAAATACATTTTACAATATGGAAGAATCTATGTTCTGAGCTATAGAGAGATGGCAATGTGGTTGATAAGGCTCTGGACTCCTAACTCAGTTGTAGAAATTCATATAACAGATTCTATTCATATAATTGTGTATAACAAAATCAGTAATTGTTACTTCTGCAGGGTGCTTTGTATTAATGTGTCAGCCACATAAATGAATAAGAAGATACCCACAACAAAATGAATGTTACTAGAAGAGGTCCAGTTTAAATGTACTGTACAATGTGAAATGGATAGATCAAAGATAATTCCATTACACTAATATTTGTTTGTAACATTTTGCCACAAAACCTCTGATAAGCTCCTATTGTTTATGTTTTTTCATTGTTTAAGGAAGTTATATCAGGAGGTTCTGGATGCAATCCAATCACTTGTGAAATGTTCTGGCAACAGGAGCTGTGGTTCTGTGTTACATTGTGTACCAACGCCAGTTATAGGAAAGCAACATTGGAAAATATTTCTAATGTTTCCTGAGAATTATTCCTGCATTATTCTGTGAATTTATTGAAACGGTCACTTTTGACAGTTTTTCCAGGACCAAGTGTGAATAACAACTTCACCAGAGGCTACCAGTAGAGTGGATGTTTCAGATGACACTCTGGCTCTGAAATTTCCTTCACAATATTATTATTACAGGAGTTCATTAAGACTGAGTAAAGAATACATTCTTTAAAAGTCTGAATGTATATTAAAATATAAACAACAAATGTTCATCTGCAGTATTTTGTGATTTTTGCATACGTGAGATTTGTAAAAAATGTTTGTAAATTTGGAATGCTTTACTGTGCTGGGCAGCAGTTTAATTTATTACGTTAACCTAGAAATATACCCCTCAAAACCCCGGGAAACATCAAGAGGAGTGATGTGAAGTGGTATGCTTGAAATCCTTCCCTCAAGTAAAACGGAAGAACAGATCATACACAATGTTTTGATTCCTCTCCGCATCTGGCACGGTTATTCAATTCTTGTGTTTACAGCAATATGATGTAAGATGTAATGGTTTGAATAAAAGGTCAAAAACATGACTTCATGTACCTTGGCCTCACCCTGTGTTTCACATGAAGGCCTGCATATTACTGACAGTGATCAAGTTCAATAAAAGCACAAAGACATTTAGGAGCACCCTGCATCTGGTTTTCAGCTGTTGTTTCCTTCCTCCCACACCTCCCCAAAGAGCTGAAGTTATGTAATGTTTTTGTGTAACAGATTGTTCCACATAATATACTGTAGCTTGTCACCCCATGAGCATAATGGAGAAAGAAATGTCTAATGTCTTCCAGATAAACTGGATATCAGTGTTACTTCTCATTTCTTGATTCCTCATTTTACTAGTGCTGGAGCTTTTTTGAAGTGTATGCATGAGCTGCTGAAGGAGAACCACTGGTATCACACTTTTATTTATATATTATTATAATGGCATCATCCATGACAGCCATCAATAATGTTCCTTAATAATTACATTAAACCTAAGTAAATGATGTAACATCATTTTAAATCCATCACTCAATCATAAAGATGTGTTATATAAGTTAATCTTTCATCAGTAATTTAAAAATATAAATTTAAATTCAATCTGCTGTTAATTTATTGCTTTTGTTTTTGTGTCAGATAAAGTTCGATTCTGTGGAAAACTGATCTGTGAAATAAAATCAGACAATGAAGAGTATCTGTACTAATTTACAGGGCCTTGCAAAAGTATTCTGACCTTTGAACAGTTTTCAAATTTTTCATGATACTTTGAAGTGGTAACTAATATTTGTTATATACACAACCTACAATACTCCATGTATTTAAAGCAAAAAACAAAATGAAATAATTAAATTGATCATCTGGAAAGAAAAATCCAAAAGTATTCAAACATATGGCTAAACATCTACTGTACATTTGTACCTCAGTCAGGTATTGAACTTCAAGCAAAAATTCAAGAATGAAGACCAAGGATCTTTCAAAACAACTCAAACCCAACATAGTACAGTACCTGTACATCACTCAGTTAACACCATCCCTACTGTCTACAGTGGAAGTTGCAGCATTATGTTTCAGTTCTGCTTCTTATTAGTGGGTACTGGGAAGCAGGTTAAGACTAGTGGGAATACAAATGGAGCAAAGTACTGGAAAATCTTATTGGAAACCTGCTTTTAACCTAACCTTTCAGAAGCCGTCATTTTATTCACGTTTGAATAAAGTAGAATGTGTATGATTCTTTTTGTAATTTCATAAAATGGAACTTCATAGGAACAGCACAGTGATGCAGTGGTCAGTACTGCTGCCTTGCAGCTCTGGGGCCCTGCATGCAGTTCTTTGAATGCTGTGTGCATGGAGTTTGGGATGTTTTCACTATGTTCATTTGGGTTTCCTCTGTGTGCTCCATTTTCTTCCCACAGTCCAAAGATATACCTGTAGGTTAATTGATTTCTGGAAAAATGGGCCCTGGGTTGAGTGTGTGTGTATGTTTGTGTCCATGAGTGGTCTCTGATGGACTGGTGTCCTATCCATGGTGTACTTTGTTTTGTGTCTTTTGCTTGCCAGGATAGGGTCCAGCTCCCCCATGACTCAGTATTCAGTAAAGTGGTTAGAAAATGCATGCATGGATAAAAACACCATTGGAATTGTCTTCGTGTTTTGCAAGGCACTGGTAATAAGGAGCATGCTGAAAAAAAGGAATAATTTAGCTTAAGTGGTAAATCTTTCTGGTAGAAACCTGGAAAATAAATATGCATAGGCTGAAAAAATCAAATGAAGTCCTGTTTCTGCAAGAAATTCTTCTTGGGGAAAAAAAAATCTAACAATTTAAATATTATATTTCGTAATTAAGTGTAATAATGGTTGGATTTTGTAGTGACTGCTTAAGACAGTAGACTCATAAACTTTATTCCATATGTATTTGACAAATTATTTTAGAATTTGTTTCATTACTTCATTCAAAATTTGCTTTTTTTGTTTTGTAAACCATGCCCTTTGACTCTACATGTGTATTAAAATATTAATCAAAAAAGCTAAGCTGGGCTCACTTTTTGATACTGCTGTCATACTGCTGACCAAGTTGTGTTATTGCTCACTGATTCATGGTAAACTTGTTTTCTCTTTTCAGTGTGTGGCTGTGATTTGGCCCAGGGTGGTTTTTTCGTACGTCAAGGAGAGTACATTTGTACCTTGGATTACCAGAGGCTGTATGGAACACGCTGCTTTAGCTGTGATGAGTTTATAGAAGGGGAGGTGGTTTCTGCTCTGGGGAAAACCTATCACCCAAAGTGCTTCGTCTGTGCTGTTTGCAGGTGAGGACATTTTTGTTTCTTTTTCTACAATTCAAGGAACATTTCCAAATAGTTTTTGATGACTTCTTAGTAAGGTGTATACTGCATAGGTGCTGTTTGGGATCAGTATAGTACAGTATATCTGTTGACTGAGATGGGTATAGGTTGTTTTGCCTTTATGCAAAATACCTTTTATTTTACATTGTTCACCATAAACCTTAAGATATGTTTCACTTCAAATTTAACTACTAAGTGTAAGTTATTTTTAGAAGATAGAGTACACCATTTGCTCTATTATTATATATACATTTTGTTTTTGAACACTATGGCTAGATTTCAGCAGCTGTCTTTGCTGTATGGAATTAAAGATCCCATTTATGTAAGATAAATTATCTTAGTGCTTCTGTATTTGTGAAGTAATCTCTTAATTGGAAATGTGAATGTTCACTTGACTAATTTGCTGTATTTGGACGGTGTCTAATGTAAGGCAGAGCCATTACCCAAGAGTTTGAAAGTCATGAACAGAGAAGCATGGCAGAATATTTTTTTTGCGTTAAGTACAGTATATTGAAATTCATGTAAAGCCTGAAAACACTTAGGAAACAAAATATCAAAATTTTCAAGTGAAAAACATGTAGAATTCAAAAAATGCTGTTTTCCTAGAATTTGTTAATTTAGTGCATCATGAGCAAGCATTTTTTCGGAAGATAGAAAAGACGTTATTAACAGCAAAGATAGCAAAACTAGCAAAGAACGTTATTAACAGCAATGAAACATGGCATACCAAGAAAAGGTGTCGCATTCCACTTTTTTATGATTTTTTGAGGGAGGGTGATAGAAACATTCTGAAACAGCATGATCCAGAACAACAGTCCCATTTCCTTTCATATGCTCCCCTCCCCCCACCTGAAACCCTCCCCAGGTGGTAATGCATACATACTGTACTACTCATAACCAATAATCCCTGCCCATGTGGGAGCCTCATCTCTCCTTATATTCAGAGGTGGGCTCAATATTGCTTTGAGAGTATTTAATGCTGGTCTAGACACTTGACAGAAGAGGAGTCCTTTCCCCTCTCCGTGAGCCAATGCAATGGAGAGCTCCATGTGTACAACATCAAGGAAAGGTCCCACTGATTCTGGGGAAGGGAATATGGAGGCAGCTTGTACCGATTAACCATCTGTCAGCAGTAGATGGCTACTATCAGCAGTCGTAATGCTACTCACCTCAATCTGCCTCTAGGGCACAGACAAATATAGCTGTCATGCCCTGTTCTCCTAGAGGGAGCTCTACTTCTGTCCTGTTCCTAGTTCCCTTTGATTATTCATGTCTTTCTGGTGTGTCTTGTTGTGTAGCCTATTTACTTCCTGAGGCTGCTCTGCTCCTCGCTCAGCATTGAGGGTACGGATGCTGTGAGACCCGGCCAGTACCAGGTCAGCCCACATCTGTTGCTGAGGGCGTAGGTTTCTATACTGACATCGTCCAACCCCCTGAGCCTGGGCTAACCTCCGTGTTGCCCCGTTTACCGCTACGCATAGGGTCTCCTTGTCATTCCACGACATGCCCTATCCGACATCCGTGATAATAGCAATAACTTGTCATTTAACAAAAGACACACCACAGAACAAGGAATGTCTTCCAAGAAAATAGTAGAAATTGAGGATACGACAAGACAGTTGCATTTTAACATGAACAGAGAAGATTGTGTGGGAACCTAATATAAGTGTTAAGAAATCCTCAAAGACACCAACAAAGTCAATCCAGTAGCTTTTCTCACTGAACAGTGTGAACAGGGTAACTTGAACCGGAGGGCACAAGTGGAAAGCTTTTAAACTGGCATTACTTTGGTATTTAGTAATTAATTGATTTAAGATAATTGATCTCATCCAGCTGTTTTTATTTGTAAGAAATCAGGGTATTAACTTCACTAGCTTGACTGGGCTTGTTCCAAACGTCCAGAGCTAAATGGGTAAGGAAGTGCTCCTGTTCTTAGTTTTAAAGGCACTCTTTCACATAGTATCCACTATTGTTGTCTGGTTTATGTTTTACTGTTTATTGTGAGTCCTCTGGGGAGTATTGCATTATGACTTTACAGTATATGCTAAATGAGTGCATTTAGCACTTAGGTTACCAATAACCTCAGAAAATAATACTGTATGATATCAACAATATAAAGTGAGATGCAATGCTGTGTATTTTTAATGTTGGTAGGGAAGAAAGTGTCAGCATTTGCAAAGGATTTTAATAAAATGGCAGTGTCAGGAATTTAGACGTGTGGAGGACACTTGGTGGCTGGATAAGAGTAATGCTCTTCAATGGATAAGAGTAATGCGGGATTCATTTACTGCATTGACTTCGTATCTGCTGGCTCTGGAATGCCTGTTAGCAAGGATGTAGAGTGTATCTTTGCTGAGTTTGTTTCCAATGAAGCGGCACAAAATATCAAAAATTGGGAATGTACAGTAGTTAAGTGCAGATTTAAATGCTCGAGTGTTCCGTGATATTCAGGAGTGTCAACAAAAGTCCAGCTATTACAATTGGGGAGCCCTTTCTAGACTCCTCTTATTGCATAAATGGTCTTGGGCAGATTTCTGGCTTATATAGGTCTATCAGATCAGCACTTGCTTGTAGTTTGAACAGCAGTAGTTGCTGCCACTTTACAAGGTAGCAGGAAAGTTGCCTGAGTCTCAGAGAGCAAAAGCAAATGGATGTGTAGTAAGTGTTAAGTCAAATTGTGTACAGGAAGTGATTGGTTGCGATGTCACCAGGTATAGTGTTCTCCCCCATCCAGCAGGTTCTGATTGATAGATTATCTTGGCCCTGTGAGTGGATTATTGACTGATGACCTCCAGCTGGGGTTCTGAGTCCAGATGCCTGTCTCATGAAACTGTAGAAAGTGTTCATCACTGAGGGTGTCAAAATTTAACTGATTTATGATGTCTTTCTTTGAGTCAAAATCCCAGTGTACGTATTTGGAGCCCATTTTACCTACATTAGTAAAAAAATGACTCACTGGAACTTAGCTGTACCAGGTCATTTTCCATTCAAAGAAATAGAACGAATATTCTACTTTTTCCAAATACTTTAATTATCATAATAATAGTATTAGATGCTCAAAATAATAGAATTATAAGAATTTTTAAGGTACAAGCATTTCTGTCCTAGGTATATAACTACTATACATCATTAGATTAGTGGATAATTGTGTGGAGGATGTTATCAACACAGCTCTTGAAATTTGGCCATTAGTAAGTTTAGGGTTAGAAATTATAAAAAAGAGCACCCAGCTGCAAAATCACCAAAGATGGGCACTGTCTTAAAAGGAAGCCAAATACATTTTTGGGACATGAATATCATAGATTTATTACTTTTTTTCATCAACTGCCACAACCTATAGGCACTGCCATCATTCAGAGTACAATAAGTGCAATTAACAGTACTCTGAGGTCAGTTATTCCAGTATTGGAATAACTGACTAAGTAATAACCCTTTGAGTGCTAAGAGGTATGCACATCTATCACATACTGTATAATCCGTCCTAATGGACCCAGATAATGTCACAAAATTATTGTGAGCCTGCAACCCCCATGTGGTACCAATGAATAGTTGTTAGGGTCCTGTTTCAAAGCACTTTTGTCCTTTCACCACCATATCATTATTGTTCACCTACACAGAATAGTGAGGTTTCAGTGTAATTGAACTCCCAACGGGGAAGAAATAAGCTTTTGGGTTCTAAAATTTCTTGAGGTCAAACCACTTTTTCAAACTGCTGTTACAAATGCAGGATGAATTATGACAAATGGTCTTTAGACCTTTTGTCTGTCAGGCAAATGTGCTAGCAATGCTGAGAAGTAAAGAGCTGGGTCCATTCATTCATCAGTCCAAATCAATAATACTGCATCAGTCTAATGGGACTGTGCCGCTGCGTTCTTGTTTGACAGAATATAGAACAAGGTTCTTCAGTGGCATTTGAAGGAAATTGTACACCTTTTAAGACCACATTATTCACTGGTTTCCTTTAAAAGATAATGCCTTTTGAATTTATGGCCAGTGAAGGGCCGGCCATTTCATTATAGAAAAATATATTTTACTATAATATATCTTATAGTATATATATAGTACTGTATATGTATAGTATATATACTATAGTATATTTTAGTAAAATATCTTTTACTATAATATACTGCAGTTACAGCACAAATGTTACATACTGTATATGTTGGGGAATAAATGATTTATTTTGGAAATGTATGATGATATTTAACTGGTTTTGAGAAGTTACCAACCCTTTCTCATGTAAAGGAAGCAATAGTTCCGTTACGTTTACAAAGCGTCTGTTTAGAACCTGCTCAGACTCTCCCACAACAAGCATGTGTATCATTCTGGCTGTAAGAATTCCGCGGTCCCCTTCTCCCAGACTCAGTTTACCTGTGGAGGTTTTAAGTGCGCAATACGATATCCAGATTTGTACAAAGGTTCCCTTGTAGTGGGCCATGTAACCTTTCGCATGTCAAGTTCTCGTGCTTTCTCTGTTCCCAGGTTCTTTTTATGTTGCTTTAGATGCATTGGCAAGGAATGCCTGACATTATGTCACAATTTATTTTCATGCAGTTCACTTTGTTTTATGTTCTTAAGTATCATGCGACAATTACTTTCATATTATTTTGCAAAATATTTTTGATGGGCATCACTATACTTGCAACACAATTTGTTGATGGCCGCTGCAGGACTGAGACAAAATGCAAAAAGGAAACTCCTGTGTGGTCGCTTCCCATGTTCAGTCCTGAAGCATTTCAGTAGTTTGAAAGCACAATAAGTGCAAATGTTTCAGGTAAGAGTCTGATATTTCCTGTGTTTTTCTTTAAAAATACAATGATGTTGAAATGTAGTATGTTGGTATACAAGAGTAAATAACAAATGACAATTAAAAAAAATCAACTTTAATCACTGCCGGAAGAAATTCATTGAATGCTTTGATTGCTGTCCTGTCCTCTCTAATAAATCTCAGAACTGATGGAGTTTGAGTCACTTGGATGGTTAATGTCATTTTCACCGAGGGTAGTGGTCTTCTTTTCAGTTTTCCTCTATTGCAACTAAGCGGAGACTGTCAGTGCTCGTTAATCAGTGACAGCAGCTTGTGCCTATTTCATTAGGGAACTCTTCTTCACACAACCGCAAATTAAATAGCGTTTTAATGATCAAATTAATCTGGAGCTTTTTGAAGAGGCCCAATTCATTTAATATAAATTCAGTAGGATTATAAGTATGGTACCATAAAAAATCTAAATATAAAGTGTATGTTCTTCAGATTTTTTAGGTGTGTATATTTTTTTTTAAACGGACTTGGAGACAACTTTAAAATCAAACTTTTCTCATAACCTTGCAAAGCAGAATGATATGGGTCTTTTTCCAGTTTTTCCAACTGCATATTTTGTGTTGCTCTACATTTTTCTAATTTGTAAACAAAATATGAATTGGCATTTACTGTACAGTATGTTCTCAAAAGCCTGGTCACTACTACTGTACTTCCAAATTAAAAAATAATTTGTTAATCTGGGGGAGGGGGGGGGGGGTTGTGCAACCGATATAAAGAGAAATATTAAATGCGGAAATGTGTGTGTATGTTTTTCACTAATATTTCAAAGCATATAAGAGTCTGAACGGCCTCTATAAGAGTGAAATAGGTTATTATTGTAGGTAGTATAGACCATTCCCACTTTGTGACATGACATTGTTCTGAATGGCTTGACTTTAATCATGGTGTGCTACATGTGACTCATACATTATGCATTAGAATTCATGAGATACTGTAGCCACTACCTGTGATTTGAAGAAAGACCAGGCTGAGAATAAAGAAATGTAAGTCTGTTTTTACAGTTGGTACAGTATATGTGGAGGTAAAACACAGTTTGTCTGCGTACTAGTGAACATTAAAACCTCCTGACCATAAAATGTGGCTATTTTGATGCAACTTCTCTAAAATAACTGAGCAAAACCCACCTTTTTGAATTATGATAATTTACTGGGCAAAATCAAAGTGGACGTCTGTCATTTCAATAAATCAGTTTAAGTGATCTTTTGTTCTGGGTTTTGTCAGAAACAGCCTCTTCTGAACTAGTCACCTGGAGTTGCTGTTTGAAAAGAATTCATAGCTGGACTACAGCTCACCTCTGTTTTTTTAAGTTATTTTACTTCTTAACCAGTAGCTCTTGTCTCATGAACGCAGATTATGATATGAATCAGCAGTCCTCTGATCTAAAATCTGAAAATGCAGTAGCTAGGAGATAAATCATGTTTCCTGATTTCAATATGATGTGACAGCAGGGTGATGCCACTAAGTTTATGCTGTTTGCTCTCTGAAAATAATGGAGATAAAGAACCAGCAGGGATTCTGACTTGATAAATCAACCACATTTCTAACTCCTCATACACACTGGTTGCTGGTTGCTATGAGAGAGTAATTGCACCACTCTCAGGTGTGAGATTTCCACTATATAGCCAATGTATGGTTTTCAGTTGAAGCTAACTGGATGGCATCTGGAGCACTTTAGGAAAAAAATGGCCTAGTGGTTCACACTCAGGCATACAATGAACACCTGTAAGTCTGTAGACTTGCTCTGGGTTCTGAGTGATCCTCCTATATCTTGGATGCAAACAGCTTTGGATTAGGAAATCTTCTTTTCTGTTATACACAAGCTCATTAAATCCACTGATGACTGCTCTTTCTTCCACCATGACCTCTGTTTTATGTTTTTAAACCATTTTTTCAAACCAGGTTTGATGCTAGATTGAAAAATCTTCAATTATCTGAATCAAACCTTATCCCTGTACCTGATTTCAACAGCTATGTAAAAATGAGTCCTCATTTTTACATTGGCATTCCCTGAGTACCATTTTTTCTGAATTTAGCTTAGTTGGTTCAGAACAACTTACAAAAATTATTAACAGCCGTAAAACAGCTTATTGTTGCCTAGATCCCATACCTACCTCTCTATAATAAGTTTGCCTGTCAAACATCTTCTCTTTAATTGTCAATATTGTCAAGTTCTAGTTTCCATGTGTGTGGTCCACAATGCTTTAAAGACTCCATCAATCACTCCAATACTAAAGAAACCTGGCTTGGATTCTGATATAATGATGAGCTACACACCAATTTCTAAATTCACGTTTCTATCTTAGGTTTTTAGAGCATTAATCACAGGCTTACATGATAGCTAATGACTTGTTTTAACCATTTCAGTCCAGTTTTCATTGTAATCATAGCACTGAGACTGCTTTTATCAGGTTTGTACAGTATATGATTGACCTATTGTGACTGACTTTGGGGGCTGTAAGTATTCTTATGCTCCTTGATGTTGGTGAGGTTTTGATACAGTAAATCCTTCAGAGTTGCTCAAACGCTTGCAATCATTATTGTCTATCAATGGTACTGTGTTTAAATCGTTTCACTCATACCTGACCATCTGGCAGCATCTTGTTTCCCTTGGTCCTTATAAATCCCCCATGGCCACAGTCAGTCATGGTGTGCCACAGGATTTGAGTTTGGGCCACTTGGTTTTTGTTATTTACATGTACAGTATATGCTTCCTCTTGGTTAGATAATATGCAAATATGTTTTCAGTTTAGTTTAGTTTGCTAAGCAAATGTCCAAAACTCTGGCTGACTTCTAACTCACACCAGACCCTGGCAATATATCACACCTATGCTTAAATCTTGAGTTATAATGGTTTGATCATTACAAACAGCTGGTATTTGCATGAACATCTGACCACAAATAATTGAAAGAAATATTTAAAGCAGTGAAGTTACAAAAAACTGTCAACCTGGTGACATTGTATTCTGTACATATACAATGTCAAGAATTCCATACTTTTAATACCGTGTTGTAGCCATAGATTGGTTGCCTATAAAGTCACACATTCTGTGTAAGATCTTGTTACTGACTTTAAATAATCTGGGCTGGAATCTCTGAACACCTCCATGTTTACATTCCTTCCTGTAGGCTCCATTTAATTGTGGTCAGTCCTTTGCTCACTGTACCTAGGACTAAATCTTGGACTTTTGCTGTCATTGTTATGGAACGGTCTTCTTCTGACTTTGTGACAGACAAATTCTTTGATTTTCTTGAAATCTAAAGTTAAAACTCACCTGTATACTAGTGCCTACAGTATTTCTGATTGTCCTACATTTTTGTCTATTACTTTCTTTAATCACCGTGTACAGCTTCGTTGGCTTTGGAAAGGTGCTTTATAACTAAAAGTTCTTCTTCTTCTCCGTATTTGTATTATTATAATTTTGGATAAGCAAAACACATATTTATACTGGTGATAATTCAAGTTGTTGCACCAATGAGCCAGCTATCGAAAATGCCACATGAGCTGGATTCTCCAATGAGGGATGCATCTGTTACTGCATCTACTTTAATTTTTTAAGTTCAAATGCATTGCAGCCTTTCAGCTTTATGCAACAAAATCTAATAAGATATTCATATACAGTACATCCAATATGATGTTGCTGCAGTGTGTACCAAAATGTAAAGTGTCTGTTGCTCCTATTTTCTTGCACACCTTCTGTATTCTCCTGAAAACCTAAAAGACTGAGTCTAAGTGTGTCATGGATGTCGGATGGGCATTCCATGGAATGACAAGGAGAGCAGGAGAGACCCTATGCATAGTGGAAAAAGGGGCAACACGGAGGTAAGCCCAGGCTCAGGGGGTCGGACGATGTCAGGATAGAAACCTATGCCCTCAGGCCACAGACGTGGGGCGACCTGGTAACAGGCGGGTCTCACGACATCCGTACCCTCACTGCAGAGCCAGGAGCAGAACAGCCACAGGAAGTAAATAGGCTACACAACAAGACACACCGGAAAGACATGAATAATCACAGGGAATTAGGAACAGGACAGAAGTAGAGTGCTCTCTGGGTGTTCAGGGTGTGACAGAGTGATGGAGTCTTCATCCAGCAGGCTTAAATGTGTAAAAGTTATGTCAAGTGAGTAACAGTGTTTTTTTTTCTTTTGAATTGCAGACAGCCTTTTCCTCCAGGCGACCGGGTGACTTTCAATGGGAAAGAATGCATTTGCCAAAAGTGTTCACAGCCCTTGCCTGCCAACAGCCCTGCACCAGTCCAAGTTGTCCGAAGTAAGCACTTCTCCTCCCGTTCTCCTTTAGTCATTTAATTTATCATAAAGGATCGGCATGGATGTACTCCAGCAGATTTGCACAGCTGTGTCCACCATTTCTTCATCTGACATTGTTGATAAAGATTCTTTCATACCCACCTTCACAAACAAAGGCCAAATCTCAGAAAGCAATGTCTTGTTAATTATTAATATCACATATCATAAGACCAGTTCTATGTTTGTTATTTTAAGTGTGCTCCTGAAAGAAAGACATTCGCACATCCTGTCTCCATTCTCCAGCGTCTGGCGCCCATGTTTCTTGACTCTTTTTCTTTCTTTTTCTTGCCATATTGAAAATGATCAACTTGTACAAACCTGCAAGGCAGCTAATTTTTAAAAAGCTTGCAGATAAGGAATAATCCAGTAGGACTTAAAAGAATCTTTAAGCCAGATGTGCTGGAGGCAAATGGAGGGAAGTTAATGTCATGAACGTTAATCTAAAAAGGAAAATTTAGGAAAAAAGGAGCAAAACCCTTTGCCTTTGTACCTTTGTCTGGTTACTCTTAACATTGTCACAATCGCCTTTACAGAAGATCATTTGAAAGCCTACAGTTTAATCTCTAGTAAAGGGTTTTGTTTATTTTTTCCATATGATTGCATTGTGGTTTCATCATTACGAATAGCTAGTATTTGCAGAAGTGTCTTGCAAAAATAATTGAAAGAAATATTTCTAGCAGTGAAGTTACAAAAACATGTAAGGTTTGACATTTAAATTAATTCTTTGCATATGCAATATAAAGAATTGTCATACATTCTTATAATACAATTCTCATAAGCCATAGATTGCTTATACCCATTAATTAATTTTAAAATATTAATTTAATAGTTTGTAACATGTTTAAGTGCATAGATCCCTTTATCCATTATTATATTGGACATTGTGTGTCCGTAGACTTTCATCTGGGAATGTAAACTCATTAAAAGTTTATCACAAAATATGTATATCTCTCTTTAGACCCCCTACAAAGGTATAATTGTATGAATTTTTAATGTACAGTATTGTGGTTTCATTGAGAGGACAAAAAGGCATCAAGGACATCAGAATCGAATGTAAACTGAAACAAACTAACCTTGACCAATTCCCTTTAAAACTTGTGCAGGTTTTCCCACCTGACCTGACATGAGCAGCTGCTTTAGGGTTTCCTTTCTGACAGTTTTATTCTGTGCTTTGAGAACATACAACCATGAATCATTCATGGGATCCTTTGACATGTACAATGATAAAAACACATTTGAATTGATCTAAGGGGCTAATTATTGATCGTACTTCTCATATTCTGCCAACAAAGCATGTGGGAAATAAGTATCAAAACAAACAAAAACATAGTTCATCTTATGATGAATTATGAGGGTTATTTCAGAAGCATAGTTTATAGTCTCTCACAAGGAACAGAAAAAATAAATAATCTGATGTGTATTCTTATTTATAAGACAGAACATTTATGATTCAATCAGGTTTTTGAATGTAGTATGTAACCAAACATTTTATGTATTAAATCATACCATGCGTTAGCTTTGCTGGCTTAAGTAGCTTAAAGTATATGTCTTTTTAGTGTATTTATGTGTGAAAGATTCATAATTATGTTTCTGTACTTCAAAGTTAAAACATTTTTCTAGAGGCTTCGCAGTGGGATTAGAATTGACTTTACCATAAAAATATTGTTTTTCAGACTGCTGTGGCTGTGGAAAAGATTTTAAAAATGAACAGTCTCTGGTGGCTTTGGACAAACACTGGCACCTTGGGTGCTTTAAATGCAAAATTTGTAATAAAGTGCTGAACGCAGAATACATCAGCAAGTAAGTATTATTTTTGTTTTAATTATGGCTAAACGGTTTTGCTTTTATTGTCATTCTAAACTGTTCTGTTGAGGTCTCCTGAACTACCAATGAACATAAAGGGAAGGAAAATGTGTGCCTAGCTGACATGTTCCATAAATAAATTAAGTGTAGAATCATTCCTTATATTATATATAAAACATACATAGTGTTTTCAAAATGTTTTTGAGCCCAGTAACAGTGGTCATTTTGAGCAAATGTGTTCATTTGTTTTCTGAAAGAGTTTAAAATTGTGTAGCAAGTACTTAAGTCCGGAGAACACCTGTAGAGTATGTAGAAGATTTTGGCAGCTGACCTACACAGCTGTGCTCTGAAAAGCAGTCTTGATATTGAACTCATGGATGAGAGCCTCTGGAGTGTGTGACGAGGCTGGTGCACATTGTATTTCAAATCTCAGTGTTAAAGTATGCAGTTTTGCTCCTGCAGTGTCACTGTGGGAGCAGATGACCTTGATTTCTTTGGAACTTCACAACAAAACAGAGGGGTGATGTTTCAGTCATGGGAGGAATGCCCAGGATAATCTAAGGCCTCCCTACTAGACACATTCAATCTCAGAGCACCGCATGATGAAAAAGATGAATATCCACTGCATGAAACAATATTTTGAAAGGTTTCTCACTCAGTAACAGCTCTCCATCTGTTGCTACGAAAACAAGATTAGTCTTGTTCTGACTGGAGTACTCTCTGAGCATGAACAAGATGATGAACTGTATATTAGTCTGTGATGCTAATTCTTCAGAATTTGTTCTAATGCAGAAACCTCTGAATATTTAACCCATCAGATCTTTACTGTTTCAGTCTTTTTTGCTACATCTGGGAACCTACATTGAATATATTGTTCTTATCTGTTTTTCAGTTTTGCAGAGGAAAAGTAGATTATATTCATTTCACACAGGTGCATAACTGTATGGTGATTGCTCAAAGTCTGAAAAAAAAACATATCTTTTTAAATAAAACAAATATAAAATTGATAACCAAGGAAGTAAGTACTAATAGAAAACTATTTTTTTTTTCAAATTAGAATTTTGTGATCTCTTATTGAAATTTCATCATTCAATATTAGTGAGAAGTATCAGTGTCAAATTTGACACCGGCAATAAATGTTGTTCACCTGTGTCAAACTCACAGCTATCTTAAGGGTGCCGTTATGGATGTTTTTATAAATTATACAATTTTCTTCCTCAGTTCAGCAATTCCCCATTCCAAATCAGGCACTTTAGGGGTCTTTATTTACTTGTATTGCACATTCACAAAGTGCCTTTCCAAACCCAAGGATGCTGTACATCATGAATAAAGAAAAGCACAAGAAAGATACAACAAGAGTAAATGGAGAAAAAAAAACATACAGGTTTTTACAAATTGACTGTAGGCAGTCAGACATAGGCAGAAGTTGTCTCTTGTAAAGTCTGAGGAAGGACATTTGGCAACATTGGAGTTGGAGGAATTAAGTCTTGATGTTATAAATGCATGGATCAGGCACTCAGCATCAGACATTGATAAAAATTGCCAACTTGAGGTAACATTTCTAAGGTGAAAGAATCAATTAATCAATTTTTTCACATGTGGCTCAAAAGACAGAATATGATCAAGTGTGACTCCCAGTGTCCTGACTATAGCTGACACATGAGTGCATGAATATAAACTGTCACGTTAACCTAGCTGAGATTTTCTGCCCACCAGTAAAATTTCTGTTTTGTCACTATTTCACTTCAGGGAATTTAATGTCAACCACAGTATGCTGTCATGCAAACAAGAGATAACTGACGGAGGGGGGAGAATAGAGGGGAAAGAGGTTTTAACATAAATATAAGTATAGTCTGCATAACAGTGAAAATGAAGACCATGTTTGCATATAATTTGGCTGAGAGGTAGCATATAAATAATAAAATGTAAAAAGCACAAGACTGATCCCTGAGGTACACCATAATTGACTAAGGCTATGGGGAATTTATGGAGACAAAATGCCACCCGTTACAGAACCAGTTAAAGAATGTCTGCAAGTGACCAAGCAATATTGATTTACTGTATCAAAGACGGCACTAAGATTGAGGGCAAAATGATACTTATAGCCCCCACATCAGAGGCAATAAGTAAATCATTCACAACCTTAACATGGCTCAAACAAGTCATTAACTTTGATACGTGCCTGTAGTTGATCCATAGCCACACGTTCTAAAACATCTGATAGAAATCGTAAATTAGAGATTGGTCTGTAGTTCGTCGTTAGAGTCCAAGCCAGGTTTCTTCAGGATAGGAGTGATAGATGCAGTCTTTAAGGCGTTAGGGACCACACCAAGGGAAAGGGAAATGTTGCTGATGTTTTGATTTAACGGGCAGGTGTCTGGGAGGCAAGCTGAGTGATTTGTTTTTTGGCAAAGCCTGAAAGTGTGAAAAGTATATGCGTTGATCAGGAATTTTGAATATTTTCCCCTTGAACTTGCAGGGTGAAATGTTATGATGCTCTAATATTGAGTATTTTACCTAAAGTTTTGAATCTTAACTGGGGTAATTAGTGATGTTCAAAACCTGTCAGTATATATTAAATTAGAAGGGCATATTAAATGGGAATATGTAAATCTAAACCCTGTTTTTAGGATACCAGTTTCCTGTGGAGATTTCATGGTAGACATATTTTGAATATAAGGCTGTTCTATTGCACATCACTATTGCATCACTGTATAAACAGACACCATAGAGACGTGTTTCTTTAGCGCTATTAGGAAACTCAAAAGCAGAGGCCAGCATAACTGGAGCACATTTTATGATAAAGCAAGATTCATGTTTGGCATCCCTCACTGAGAAATAGATTACCTAACAAAATAAATGAGCAGGTCAGTGTAGAATAGGCTCTTTCAGATAGCCTTTAGGGTTGTAATACCATTTTCTTGGATTACTTCAAAATAATAAATTGCTCAATACGCAGTTAAACAAAAAAGATTTTAAAATACATTTAGTCACAATTATTGTGATTTTGCAATGTACTGTATTGGTCTGTACAAATCCTGGATTTCCATTGTAGGAAGTAAGACAATATTGTTAGTTTAGACTTTTAAAATGTTTTTTTATTTCTTCATGTTTTCTTAAAAACAAAAAGGGAAATCTATACAAAACTATACACATTCAAAAGAAGGAAGATGTACACATTTATGAATATGAAAAGGGAGTAGACTATATACATGTATCTTATTAAATTTCAGTTATTCTGTATCTCAACAAAATCTGACCTTAAAGGTTTAATGTACTGAACCCATCTAAACCAATATTTGACAATTTTTTTCATTTGTAATTTTAGTGAAAATGTTATTTTTTCCATTAGATATATTTCTTTTATTAAATCAATCCAATCATTTATTGTTGGTACTGTAGATCTGTGAGAAGCCACTTGTTATAGCTTTCTTCCCTGCTGATATAAGGACTCCAAACAAATATTCATCCGTTCCCCTCCAATCAAAATCCAGTTTACCAAAATATAAAGCCTCAAATGTAAAGGGTACATTCTTTTCAAATATAGTTTCCAGGGCCTCATGTAATTCCTTCCAGAAAAGCCTTATTTTAGGGCAGTTCCAGAATATACGCCAATGATTACCTTGGTTTCCGCACTGTCTCCAACACAGTATTCCTCAGTATGGAGTGCCTTCTGACCCGGAGTAATGAAAAATCGAACAATGTTTTTCCAGCAAAACTCTCTCCATAAATGCGAGTTAGTTCATCTCCATTGAAATTCACAAATTTTAAGCCACTCTTCATTCGAAATTCTAACTTCACTTTCCTTCACCCATTTATCTTTTATATACTCTGTAGAATATGATTTCTTTTCCATAAAACTTTTATATAATCTAGATATAATACCTTTTCTTTCTTTTTTAATTGAATCAGTTTTTTTGCAAACTCGGAAATGGTAATCTATATTCAAACTTTGCACCTAGGCTTTTTCTTAATTGTAATCATGTTGATTTCCTGGAGTTGTTTGTCAATACCATTAACTTTTAGTCACAATTAAAAAAAATCATATTCTTAAATCACATACTGTATGTGCTTCATTTGTGAGGTTATTTAATATTTATTAAATCTCCCGATCTCCAAGGCTAAGTAAGCCTGGGTCTGGTCAGTACTGAGATTACAGACCTCTAAGGAAATCCATGTTGCTACTTTATGTGGTGTTGGAGGACCATCCCTGCAGACCAGAATCTCCATTTGAATGCCCCAGTATGTCCAGTTTCCCTACATATTAGTGCTGTTAGAGGTACTATACTTCAGATGAAAAGATAAACCAAGGTCCTGACAACATGTGGTCATTAAGGATCCCATATTACTATATGGAAGAGTACTGTAGGTGTCCACTTCAAGCTTACTCAGTCTGGCCTACATAATGTCTCCTCTTAATGCAAAAGGTGTAGGCGAATCTGCTGGAACATCATGGCTGCTATGAGTCATCCAGTTGTGTGCTGTACCTCAGTGCTGGATGACGTGGGTCCTTTGCTACAGTTTGAAGGGCTTTAGGATGAAAAGTGATGTGGAAAATGCATGAAATTATTATAATTGTTACTCATTTCATTTTTTAATATTTTCTTTGTAGATTCTTCTAGGGAATACATTATTAGGTAACGTTTTAGAAAGGTTTTGTCTTCATTGGTGTTTAGCATTCAGTTCATGGATCAAGCTGTAGTTTTGATTAACCCGTTTTGTTTGATGGTTGCGAGTGATTTAGCCTCGGGTTTGTATTGTAAATTCAGTATCGTGGATACCTGTCCTGTACGTACAGATTATATTACATGTCTCTTTTAGTTTATTGTTATGAACAACAGTTAGTGGTTAGCATTGTTGCTTTGCAGTGCTGCAGCCCTGGGTTCAGTTCTGCTCCTGGGGTGCTGTCTCCTCTGGGTGCTCTGGTTTCCTGCCACAGTCCCAAAGATATACCTGTAGGTTAATTGGCTTTTGGGAAAATTGGCCCTGGTGTGAGTGTGTGTGTCTCTGTGTGTGTGCTCTGAGATGGACTGGCTTCCCATCCAGGGAATATTTCACCTTGCACCCTAAAATGTATGCAGAGGTTAGTAAATGGGTAGATTGATTAAGTGTTATTTATTTTTTGTCTGATCAAATGAGACGTGCCCTTGGCAACAAGGCTTTCGGCTAACGGACTCCTGTGCTAAACTTGGTGTCACACCAGGTTAATGTCTGTGTTATTAATAGTGATTAAGTGAAATGAGCTACCCTCCCAATTTGCCATGTTATATACTGAACTGACAAGTTTAGACATTAAATTAAAAACAAATTAAAACCACCGTGTATGGCAGTTTTGTTTTTTCTATATTTTTAACATTTTCGATCAATTGTTTGTTTTTTGTTTTTTTGTTCAAGGGATGGGGTTCCTTACTGTGAGGTCGACTACCACGCAATGTACGGCATTCAGTGTGAACAGTGTAAGAAGTACATCACAGGCAAGGTGTTAGAGGTAAGACTAAAAATGTGTTGTTGTCTGCATAAGCTAAGTTTTAGCTTATGCCTCCATGACAGCTGGAAAATAATATTTTTGTGTAGGAGCATTAAACACACAGATTGGGAAAGTATTATATTTCTGACCTTTCAATATGGGGTATATTTCAAATAAACAGATTCAACACATAACATCTTACATCTAACAAAATTGACCCCAGAGCCGACAATCTTTACACTTGCAAGATTCTACTGGAAAGCCAAAAGCAAAGCAAAATCAGTCATGAATATACTTGGCTGACTTCTGTCCACATTCTTCCCCAAATGATATCAGCTTCCATTATCAGAATAGTTATCATAATATTATCAGAAAAGTTCTGTGTGTGAGTGGTTAACTGAGCCAGAACTCTGAGCAGTTGAAGTGTTGGCATAATATTTAATAGATAAAAACACAAGACTTGTCACTTCCTTGGAATAACAAAAAACTAATTTAACAAATTTCAAAAAAGCTCAGAAATGTGTTTTTCCACTTAGTATTCAAATGATTTCCTTAACAGTATGAACTGTGATGCAGTGCTATCAGAATGCACATGTAGTTCAAATCTCAAATAGTCAACGTAAAAAACCCTTTGGAATGATTAGCATGCAGGGGTCTCCCATTGAAATGCCATGACATTTGATTCAAGGATACCGGTGGCTCAATGACCCTTTGGAGTTAATTTAGAAAAGGAGTGGAGAAAAAGGTAATAAGGTTGTGTTGGCTGACAGAAGTTTGCTGAATGTGTATTTTTTATGGTGATTGATGAAAGTAAGGCTTCCTGTAGGGAAAAAAAGCTTTGTGTTTGTAATTGTACTAACTTTATAAAAGGAATGAAAAAATCCCAAAGAAAAATAGAATAGGTTTTGAAGAAAATGTGTGGAAAGTTATTAGGTACGTTTATCTGTTGTGTTGGGACTTGACTTATATTATTGATTGTTGCATCCGTTTAGTACAGCATATCTCCTAAAATATTGAACAACGTCTTCAAATGGCATTCTGAATAGATTTTATATATAGTTATATATTTATATGATTTTTCTTGGGTTACGGCTTTTTCTTGGGTGAAGCTGTTGTTTATGTTGTATTTTATTATTAATTATTATTATTATTATTAAAAATTGTTTAGACGTAATCTGCTATTACCAATGCCAGTGCTAACCCCATAATTATTTATAATGCCTAAATGATGGAAAACATGGGACCTAAGGTGTAAGCTGATTTGCTATGGCTATTTTCCCACTAATGCCCACTTCTGAAATTATGCAGCAAAGTGAAATGGTTGTTATGCTGCTATTAGGAAAGTCAAGAGTACCATAAATAAACATGAGTACCATAAATGTCTGGAAATTAAAGGGGGATACCTCTGATAACGAAGAAAATGCCACTTTATGGCTTACTGTATATCACTAACTATACTGTAGCTAGCTGTGGATTAAGTTCACGGACATGATTTCCAAAATGAGGAAGTCCATCCTTTCATTCTTAATGGGTCCATTTTCATTCTTAAAAAAACTTTTTTAATCGTCAGTCCATCTGTCCATGACTTCCCTGCTCATACATGAGACCCCTTATGGCCCAAGTCCTCTGGTTCATGTCTATTAGACACTGGACACCAACTCATATACTGTATGCTGTATCCATTTTACCACTCCTTGAACCCAAATGATACATTTTTCACTTTTGTGTGAAATATGAGTGGAATAATTAGCTGTTCCGGTCAGCATCCAAACAATTTTTTTTGCCTTTTTCTATCAAAATACTCAGAAGTAAAGAACAAACACATCTTGTATAGTATAGTTTATATGCAAAATCATATATTTATTGTTACATGGAAATAAGAATGTATTTTTTTAGAATAAAATTATTTGGTTTTTAAAAATAATCTAATCTGAGAAATGTTTCTACCTACAAAATAATCTTCTTCATCAAGAATCGCCTTTAAAGAGAAAATTCACGACATAGTTTCAAAATAACATCAGTTGAAAACAAAATACCTGATAGGCAGACTGGATCTTATGATTTGTTTGTTCTCTACGGACAAAATTTAATGTTTTGCTGAGGACACTTTTTCAAGAAAGAAATGTTGATAAAAAATGACTTGAAGCATATACAGTAAGCAATAAATGTCTGAATGAATCTTCAGTAGCCAGATATTAAAGAAGCAAGCTCATTAGAGTATATGGCTGAAAAACGTTGTTGGGTGAAGGGTGATCTATATTTATCTCCTCCAGGAAGGAATAAAAAAGGAGTGTGCTCAAGACAGGGAAATTGATTGTTGCTAACATTCAATCTTTTTCTTTCATTTTCTTTGTCTATGTCTATTTGGTGACTATCAGTGACCAAAACAATCATGAACACGTACAGAGCATGCATTCACAAATGGGTGTTGCTATTGCTTTTGTCTCGTTAATTCTTTTTACAGGCCACAGGAAAATTGAGTGTTTTCGTTTGTCATTTTGTGAAATATGTTCAATAATAATAATAGCCATTGTGACAGGTATTTCTAAGTAATTCTATGACGTTACACAACATTGTTAGTTTAAAAATGGTCTGTTTGGTGAAGATGGTAAAACCTGACTAAAGTAATTAAAATTGAGTATTTTTATTGCTTTAGCTCTAAAGAGCATTCAGTGGTCTAATCTCAGAAGTGAGTAAAAGCTAGTAAAACAGATTGACATCCGGAATTTGCTTTAGGGTGAAATTCAGTACAAGCTGTAACATCAGTCAGTACCACTGCTGTTCTTTTATAGTGTGAGTTGTAGTTTAGAGAGAAGGGTTGGCAGAAACACCCTTGCCACGCAGCAAGAGAAGATCACAGCAACAGAATGGCTGTGGGGATAATCTGACTTCAGGCTAGTGATTTTGGAAGTGCATTTGAGCATTTTAAGTACCATCCTTGGGTGAAAGACTGTAGTGAACCAAAAAATAAATCTGCTCTCTGGTTTCAGATTTTAACTTGAAAGAGTGAGCTGCGGTTTTGGTTACCCTTTAGGATGACTACATGCGCATAGTGTGTCATCAGTGCATGATAGTCCCATTTGCTATGGTTTTATATAAGCAGCTCAATTGCCCGGGCTCTGAATTGAGGTGTATTGTTCAGAGAATGAAAGACAACAGCTGTTATGAATGACACAGTGTTTCCTTATGATTTTAGTGTACATTTTTGCTATCTGCATGCATACTCTGCCGTAGACTGCATGATGTCATTTGCCAGGTGTTCTAATGAGTCCCCTAAAATGCTAGTATTTTCACCCACATTTTCAAGTTCTCAATCTACCACAATCTTTACCTTGAAAACAAACTTAAGAATGTTTCTTTCACAAGGGATATCATCAAAAAGCTTTTAAAAATCTAAATATTAGTGCACAATTTATATCCACTTTTACTGTTGCTTGTTCTAAGTCTAAGTCTGTGTCAGAATTGCTCTTCATTTCTAAATCTTTGTTGAACAATTTTATCCAGTCATATTTGGTCTTCATGTGTATATGTAAAACAATAAAATTCAACATGTCTTTGTAAACAACTAAAAGACTTTTATTTTCAAAATATATATATATAATGTATGAAGTCCTTATTTGAGGCAAGTAATATAGTCACTACCGGAAAGAGATTAGGGTATTATATGTATATATATGATATAAATGGATTCTTTTAATATTACTTAAAATATTCATCTGTCACAGAATAGGATTCCTTTCAACCCTCCTTTTAAGTCCCTGTGCTAAATGGCCGTCAGTACAGATTGAAAAGGGACATTTTTTTTCTAGGGCTGTGTCATAGCTCCCCCTTTTGGTCAATTTACAGCATAACATTTACAAGATTACACATGTAATTACATTTACAATAATACTTCCTTACACTTATATAGTGCATTTCTGGACACTCCACTCAAAGCGCTTTACAGGTAATGGGGACTCTCCTCCACCATCACCAATGTGCAGTCCCACCTGGATGATGCAACAGCAGCCATAGTGCGCCAGAACGCTCACCACACCCCAGCTATCAGTGGGGAGGAGAGCAGAGTAATGAAACCAATTCATAGATGGGGATTATTAGGAGGCCACAATTGGTAAGCGCCAATGGGTAACACCCCTACAAAATGAAAAACTTATCAAAGAGAGCACACTGTAGCCACCTGTTGTTAGTCATAGTGACCCACAAGAAAAAAAAATATATATTCACAACAAGGATGTTATTGATTACCAGGAATGAGATGGAGAAAACCAGTAGTATCTACAGTAACTTACAGGACAAAGAAGGAGGAATAGTCTTTTGAGAGACATTTTGCATAAAAAGTCTTTCAGCTTCATTATTTTATTATTTGTAGGCAGGTGATAAACATTACCACCCGTCTTGTGCAAGATGTGTCAGGTGTAACCAGATGTTTGGAGAGGGAGAAGAGATGTATCTTCAAGGTAAGCAATCAGCCTTTTACATTTTTTCTTTTGTATTTGAACAGTATTGAACAAACAAAACATGATACAACACATACAGTGCATTTCTTAAAGGACACTCTGGGAAATAAAGTTTGATTGATTAGTGCATTTTAAGCACAATAATCAAAAACAACAACTTTCTGGTTGTTATACCAAAATACCAAAAACTGAAGGAACATTCCGCAGCACTTTAACACAGCTGCCTGCTTTAAACCTGTCATGTTTGCTCTTATTTCTATCTTCAAACTACTTCAGATTTCATGCTGTATGCCAATATGCAACTCTTAATGACTTTAGCTACGTGTAAAAATGGTAGTTTTAAATTACTTAAACTACCAGTATAGAGTGATCACGTCTTTGCGTAAATGTCCCAAAACAAACTTTCAGTAGTTCAAACAAGTTGCTGTGAACATTTTGCATCATTTGGTTTAATTGACTTCTGAAAAATTAGGCTTTTGACCTAAATATTTTAAAATAGTGGTACAGTATGTGAAATCGTTTTGAGAGTTTGTTTAGTTTTAAATTCCACCAGAAACATTCGAGCTCATGAACACTATTGGTTTTATTTTAGGTTCTTCCATTTGGCATCCACCCTGCAGACAGGCTGCCAGAGTAGAAGAGAAACATAAGGTGAGAAATACTGAAGGTAAAAAAAAAACAACCTTGTTGTGTGAAGAGGACACGCTTTGAAACTTACAGCAACTTATTGAGTTATTCTGCATATATTTAGTTCTTCTTGATGGATCTATTACAGAATTTAATATTTTGTTTCAAAAGTATTAGTTACAGTTTACTTAAAAGTTTACCTGCTAACAGTAACTGTATCTTCTGTACTGTTATATTGAGAAAATGCTCTAAACTTGAAGAATAGAAGCTGTATTCTCAGTGTACAGTGGAATTTACACCATCCATTGCAGAGTTTTCAAGTAGGTACCTTAACAGAAGGTATCTGTTGTTTTGCATCAATCTCTGGAACTCAGGCTCAGGAGAATATAATCCCTTTTTACACGGCTCCTTCTAGAAGCAGGTCCGGATTCTCCTCAGTGACGGTTCTTCCCAGGTTTGTAGTGTGCAGCTGCCTGCATGCATTAACTGGAGTCTGCTTAGTGCTCTGCAGAAACTCAAAAGCTTATACAAAATATTTGAAAACTTAAGAACCATGCAGTAAATAATGCTGATATCTCCATATCATTACAGCCCTGCAAAGTTTACTAATGAATTACAATTACCATGTCAACCTGCTTTTTTACAGCAAACCGTACATCATACCATCCCAGGAAAAAGTTCAAATAGATCATTTAGGTCATCAATATACTGTATATTGTAACTACTGGCTTATTAACAAATATCCATTTTACAATCCATGCATTGAAGCATAAAAAGTTACTACAAAACACTGAATCTCGTACAAATAAACAGCAATTCGATTATTACATTTTAATTTCAATAAAGGTCAATGATTTAATTTTGATTTGAAGGAACTACTACTGTATGTTCATCATGATAGAGATAATTACCTAATTTTAGTCCTTCACTACAAACACATGTTTTTAAATGTGTGCTCAATTCCAGTAACTCACCTGTCATAAAGCACTGTTTAAATGTACTGCAGCTGCTGTCCAACTCAGTGTGAACCAGTGTCTGTGGCTCGGCACTCTGCGTAGTCAAAGTACTTTACCAATACAGTATTGCCGTAGACTAAACCTTGTGGGCACTAATACTAAATATTACATTTGCACAGTCCCATGTTAAGATGTTGTCAATTAGGTGCTTTTTTTAGTGAAAATTGTGAATAAAAATACCTTTGTTTTCATTTTTATAGAAAAGAGAGGTTACCAACTATAGGCAATCAAAGTGTACTGTACAGTATATGTACTTTACCTCCAGCTGCCTTGTTCAATATTTACATGGCTAGCTGGTTTGCTTCACAGGTGGCTTCTCAAAGTTTCTTTCGAAGCATAGATAATATAAACTAAATAATATTATAAATGGCATTATAAATAATTTTTAAATAATGTACTGTAGGATAAATACTGCAAAAATGTTCCAAAGCCATCCTGTGAACCTTTATGCAATAATAAACTGTATTTCAGAGATAATAAGTGGCACTGAAATAGATTTCAACCATGGAATTTTGATGAATAATAATGAATGAAGTATATTAATGATATTTTGTTCAATTTAAAATATTGTATGGTTCTAAAGATCATGGTTACCATTTAGACTTCATAAAAAAGCAGCTACTGTATGTTTCTAAACTGAGCATCACAAGAAGCTTGCCACTTATAACTGCAACTAATGTACAGTTATCAGGAAAATGACAAAATATTTGTGTAGCAGGGGCAGTGAACAGACACAACATTGGACAATTTATTTTGCTTATTAACATTTGTCAACAACACAGTTGATAAACAAGAGGTCTACTTTGAAAGTCAGGCAAGTAGCACTTGTGAACAGCATTGGAAGCAATACAAGATGTACATTTGTGACACAGGCTTTGCTCCAGATTTGCAGATGCTGTCTTGCAGGATTCTATCTCTTTTTCCTTTCGTGGTCCCAGAACAAGCATGTGTCCATTCACTGGCCTCTTGAGTTCTAGATGCCAAGAGACGCCAGCTAATCCCACAGATGTTCAGAAGTGCTCCAGTGTAGCGAACATGGCATCCATGGCCTATTTGTCACATTGTGGTCTTATAAGAAACAAGTAAAGGTGTCACGAACATGAACTGAGATCCGTGTCAGGTCTTGTAGTAGACCCTATGCAATGCGGTAAGAGTTGGAGAAAACAGGAGGCGTGGTAAAAGGGAACACAGGGGTTTAATAGTGCACAAAATAATAGTGACAATCCGTGAGACAGTGAACGGGGGAGACAAAGAATGGCATCCAAATCCAAACAGGTCCAAAGGCAGGTCAGGGAACAGTCCAAGAGTCTTATCAGCGAGTAATCCATCCTGGGACGCGACAAGGTTAAAATCCCAGGGAGGGGGGAACACATGCACATGGACAGACAAAACATGGAGGTCCAACAGTGACGGGGCGAGATCCTCCAGACCCCGGGCTCGGGAAGGGGGAGGTGTCAGGGATGAGGCCTATGCCCACAGGAGACGGACGTAGGGTTTCCTTGTGCCAGGCGGGTCTCGCGACATCCTTACCCTAATGACGAGCCCCGAGGACTGGAGGAGCCAGTCTTTAAAAAATACACATAAGAAGGTACACCTGGGGAGCTTAATCACAAGTACAATAACGGGAGTAGTGGAGCGCCCTCTAAGGAGGGATGTCGGGAGTGACAAAAGGTTTATTCCATGCTGAAAAGAGAAGAAAAGAAACACATTGTTTCAGCTGTGGAGCCTTCTTTGGGTGTCTTATAAGAAAGCCATTGTTACATGAATAGTATGAAGATGTACATTGATGTGCTGGAATGTTATCTTGTCAGAATGACCCCGCAGAAAGTGTAGTAGATGAGATCCTGGGACTTGATCAAATGAGCACCTTGTCGCGTTGCCATCAATCACTACAAGGAGTGTTCTGTAGAGACTCCTGATCAGACCATCACACTATGACCTCTGCATTGATCTTGGTGAGGTGTCACATTGTGCTTGCAAGGGTTGTAATGGCTTGCCATGTTAGAATTTGTTGGCTGTGAATACCCCAGAGAGTAACAATACACTGACACTGTCAAGACCCAAGGGCAAAAGGGTCTCTTTCTGTGTTTTTTATTTTATTTTGATGATCTCAAAATAATGATCTCATAAATAATCTCATCGCCTGTGCCCAATCAGATGTCTATCTCTAATGAAGTATTATAGTATTATTCAGTATATCATAGTCAGTCATTAATGATTTATTAATCCAAATCATGCCAAAAATATTTAAACAGTAGCTGATTGTTTTTATACAGTACTTTATATTTTTCTTAAGAAAACCATAAATAAGGTGGAACGTTTCTTTTGATGTTTTTCTATTACAGCATCTACTGTATCTTATGAATAACACTGTTCTTTGTCTGATCTAATTAATTATTCTGCAAAACTTCATTCTGTGCCTTAGAGTCTTTCATCTTACAGGTAACAAGAACTTCTTCAGAAAGCATCACATCTGTGCCTGCATCGAGCACATCTGGGTCACCCAGCCGTGTCATCTATGTGAGTAAAACTACTACAATTTTTGAATGTTCAATTGGAACAGACCTTTTAATGGTTAAGCATGAGGTGATGGCATGGTACTGTATAAATCCCTTATATCAATTAAACGTTTCTGATATTAATCTGAATACCTATGAAAACTAATCATTTTAAATGTAATAATTAAAAGTAAACATTGATCTGTGCAGGGCCACTACTCTGTTTTGTTTAATCTCAGATAAAGTTTTTAGAAGAAAAACAAGCTTACTGTGTATCTTAAAAAGGATAACAAACTCAAGAACAATGTCAAGACTATACAAAAAACATAACGAATAGGAACAGCTTTTCCCCATATGTTTATGCAAGAAATCCTTGTCTGTTTTCATGTTTTTTTGGTCTTTCTTAGGCTAAGCTTGGAGATGAGCTTCTTGACTACAAGGATCTGGCTGCGCTCCCTAAAGTTAAAGCCATCTACAACATTGACCGGCCTGACATGCTGACCTACTCCCCATATATCAGCTATATATCAGAAGACAGACATTACGGAGAGGTAACAAGCCAAAACTAACTCAAACACTTCTGCTGAATGATCATAAAACACAACTCTGGGGTATTTCAGACGTTTCCTTTATTATTTTTCTGAAAATTATTTTAAATTTTAATTAAAACAGCTTTAGATAAGCCTTTACCTGTTTGTGATCAACTTATAAAAATGTGTCTTTTGATTTGCCATTTACTGATCGGATATGCCAATTTGTGAATATGTTCAAGACGATATGTCTCCAGCATCTTAGCTTTTAGGACGTTTTCAAGCCGAATTTTAGTTTCATTTTTATTTTTTGCTTTTTTAATTTTTATTTTGCTTTTCAGTTACAGTCACCCCAGCTGCTTTCTCCAACACCCACTGAGGTAAAACAAAATGTCTTATATACGTGGGTTTTGTACATTTCTTAATCATCAGCATTACACATAGTTAAACCAAAGGTCAAGAACATTCATCTTTTAAAACAATCGTGATTCTATAATCACGATTGTTTTTAATTTTAAAACAATCGTGATTATAGAATGAGATGTATAACATGTACAGTATCTCTGGAGTTAGATATTTTGTAGAAAAATTTTACATAAATCCCATACACTGTATACAGTATATACTGTATATACACTGTATATCTACAGTACTGTTGCGATTCCATGTGAAAGGAAGGTGATTGGAAGAGCAATTAAATTCACTAAATAAACACTATGATTTTTTTCTTTCTTAATCAATTCTTATTTAAAACAAATGTTTAAAATCTAATACTCTGTTCAGTCCATTAGGTATTGATGTCATTAAAAAATCTTTAGGCAAGAATATCAGTATCACCACTTCTCCTGAGATGTGTCATTTTTTTAAAAGAGGAGATAATATATATAATTATATATAATTTCCTTCAATAAAGAGAGACATGATTTTTGGATTTTGCAAGAAACAGGACAATTAAAAAAGTAACACCATGCAGTACTATTGCATTTTGCAATAGTTTAAACTGATACAGGTTTAAACAATGTCTATTTAGGGAAAGGCAAACATAAAACAAATGACATGATTTATTAACACAAGAAAAATAATTAAAAGAGGAAACTCCAGTTGCCTATCTACATTTGCAAAAAAACATCTGTGTCATTTTGTTAATTAAGCGCTGCTTGAAGAGGATGTTTTACCACATAAAAATTTAAAATACATCCTTGTTTCAGTGTTTAATAATGACATAGTTAATGCCAACTGTCCTTCTCTTGGAATTAGATTTAATATGACATGTACCAGGCTCTGTATATGCATTGTGGTAAACTTGTGATTCAGGTTTGATTTCATGACAATCAGTAGACAAGCTCAAAAAGATTTTTTTTATTTATTTGTCACAGACAGACTGGAATAAACTGAAATACAGTACAGTATGTGGAGTATGAGAATAACAAATGTTTCATGTTTTTGACCTTCCTGAGTATTACCAAATGAATACCTCAGAGTTTATTTAACCCTGCTCAGGGCTTGAAATAAACTGAATTGTTATTTACCTAACCTGCAAATAATCTAGACATTATTAAAACTTTAGTGACAAAAATAATCCATTATTAACTACTGGCTTCAAAGAAAGTTCCAGAGTAAAATCAAGTTATGTATAATCATTATAACAGAATAAACAGTATGTTATGTGTATTTGTTGTTCAATAATACAATTAAATACAAATAAATTGAAATATCTTAATTAATAGTATTCTATCAGAGATAGACTGCATATGTTGTTAGTATGCAAGAAGGATACAAAGAGGATATTCATGATCATCATTAAAACCTAGAGGTTCCATAGTTTGAAGTTTGAGAACAATTCCTTCCTTAAGTTTTTGCCATACCTTTATATTATGCTCAAAATGTTCAGAATTTCATTGGAACAGTTTAAAAAAAGAACAAATAATCAATTACAAAATACAATAGCAGTTGAAAGGGGCAAGCAAATGTCTGTTTAACATCTAATTCCAATAAAGCTTGTTTGTATTGCATTAAACTGAATGTCAAAGCTTGTCCTTGCCAGTGACTGCAGTCTGGTGCTGACAGTCCTTCTGATGGATCTGATAGGTTTGTTTTGTTCTGCATGGCTCTTTGTTGCCAGGGTGACCACAATGACAAATCCCCTGGCCAGAGGAGGGCCTCCAGTCCCGGCTCCCACAGCTCCCTGGGATACGGACGCTACACTCCATCGCGCTCTCCTCAGCACTACAGCAGGCCAGGTAACTCTCAGCTCTGCACACATGGTTCACTACAGCTTCCCCCAGTGGTCACACATATTTCCAATAAGCAGCTTCTCAGGCCTGTTGTACACTGAAAGCATTTGTTACCAAAAAATAATGCACTTTTGATAAATGCAGATGAGGATGGAATGAACCACCGCCATTGTGTAAAGCTCTATTTTACACTTTCTTTTTTTTTAAATAGAATTTATTATTTTTTCTTTCTTCATCAATATTTTATGGTCTAAGCTGTAATTTGTTTTTCTAAGACTTGTAAATTAAAATAAAAGATGATACAAGCTAACAATCACAGTTAGAGTACATATAGTATAAAGTTTGAACTAAAAACCTGTTATTTTCAGTTTGTATTTAGTATTATGTTAAAATTACTGGGACGTAACATCCATTTTTTTTCAGATCTCTGTGGTAATATTTAATAGGAATATTCCACAGATTGAAAATCCCACATCTAAGTGTTTTCCCTTTTAATGATCGATTTCAATTACTCAGTTTTGTTTTCTGATGGTAGAAACACTATACTGTATGTGCAGGGAATCACAGCTCCCTTCCTCTAGACCCCTCTACTGTAGCTCTGGTCCACTAAGATCCAGCCTTTGAAGGGTGTGAAAGAGTGATAGGTTTGCTGGGTGGCCTGGGTCTTAGCTGAGTAGATGGTTTCAAGCTCTGTGCAAGTTGCAACTCATTTAAGCCTAATAACATAAACCCTTAGAAACCTAGACAGAGGAAGATGCGGGCTTTTGGGGGTAAAAGACACTAGGCAGTGGGGCTGTGTAAGCTCTGATCGGGCAATGACATTGCAGCAGGAGCAGAGCTGCAGCCATTATCCAAGATCTTGTCTTCTTTCTGACAAACACTAATCAAATGGGCTTAGGAGCATTCGTACCACATTCTTCACAGTATATTCCATTTCATTCAATAAAGAGCTCAGATTGTGTTTGAGTGCTTTTTTGCAGTACTTATTTCCTAATCAGGTGGGCAATTTATTCCCACTGCTGTGAGGCAAAGTACTGTACTACACAGTACCATACAGTATGTAGATACACTAGAGATAAACATTCCTGTTTCTTTTCTTTTTAATTTAATATTTTGTCTTCCTTTAAAAATAATTCTTTGTTCTAGAAACTTCCTCTAGAAACTATTCTTTTAATAGCAAAATTTAACATTTTGATACAGCATACTGTATTGAAACATTAATATACTGTATGACAATGACTGATCTGAAGGGCAAATCAATACCTGAGTGAAGCAAACCAATAATATGCCTGCATTCACAGAAACAATATTTGAAATTTATTAAATTTAATGAAAAATATTATTTTAATAAGAGTCTATCACACAGAAATGGGAGTACTTACTGTAGATTATAGTACAAGATAGTAGAGGAGCACACTTCCTGAGACAGATTTGACGTTTGAGGTCCCACAGCTTCTTTTAGGCCAGATCCAATGATCTCCCTGTGCTTCATTCCTCCAGGCTACAAGCAAGATCTTCTTGAAAATAAGATGTGGCATCTCAGTTTGCCAGCTCACGGTAAAGCATTTCCAAGTGAAAACTGTATAAACCCAGCTGTGTTGGCTGAAAACCACAGGGCAGACTAGGAACTGGGCAGTTTGCCTCTTGTCCTTCATCAGTTTGTGCAGAGTTGCTGTTGTGCTTCTAGTGTTTTTTTTAATGTGTTGTGCATGAGAATGTGTAACTACATTATAATATCCATGAAGGATCTCTGTAATGGGCAGCAGGGAGAGTGCTCGTTTCTTTATATTATTTCCAGCTGTGTTGTGTGTTGGCTGCTACGTTCGAACTTGAGTGCTTGGATTTGGTCATTTTTTGTGAATTTGTCACATCAGTTTCATTCTGAGGTAATCTTAACAACTGAATGCAGTTAATTACAGTACTACTCAGCACCTATGTACAGAGTTATTTGTGTGCCCATTGGGTTCTAAAAGAAAAAAGTCAAGAAAGAATTGCATAACAAAAGCATGAGGGTGTTGTTTTTTGTCTACAATTGTAGAGAGAAACATGTCTTATTCACAAGGGCTAAGATGAGCTGAATATGCTAAACCAGTTACTTAAGCTTCAGTGAAAATCTGAATTGTGGTGACTTACATGGGTATAATTTGTTTATTTCAAGTTTTTTAAAATGTCAAAAAACACACATTGGGTGGTTAATTTATTCAATTTACTGTGTATATTGTATGTATGCATAATCACTTCATATTCCAAAGATATTTGATTTCTTACTGTGTTATTATTGTCATATCTATTATTTATTTTTTAATGATACAGGCTGTACAGACTGTGTGTACAGGGATTTTAAGTTGTAGTGGGTAAAATGATAAATGGTTTTATAAAACATGAAAGCTTTGAAAGCCCTCCAGACAAAAAAAGCACACTCACCAAGATCAATTCAGTACTTTTTAGGAAGACAGGCTTTGAAAATTATGAAAGAAAAACAGATGCAAAGTACATTGCCTCAAAGGAGGTTATTTAGCCATTTCTGTAGAAATTCCAGTTTTCAAAGCTAATTAAGAGTGAATCTTTTTACACCCGGTGAGGTCTATTCTGTTAGGGTAAGGGAAGTTAAACTTTCATCAAGTGTGGGCTTCCTTCAGCGGGGAGATGCAGATGTCAGATGTCTTGTGCAATCATAGCTTGCCTGTGCCTGCTGCTCCAGATCAGCACTTCTGCTCACAGCTGGCGCCATGGAGGGCTTTGGGTTTCTTTTTCTCCGATTTCCGCCCCAATAGGGCCACCGCTTATTTGAGCTCATCACCAATGTTCCTGATTGCAGTCTGGAAGTTTGCCACAAGTGTGCTTGCTCATCTGCATTTGATTGTCCAAACTGGCCTGTTTGTTATCTCTCTATATACAGACATACTGTATTCATACAGCTTTAAGCAAGAACAGTATACTTTCAGTGTTTAAAATAAGGCATTTTTTGTACAGGAAGCTGTAATGATGGAGAGATAATTCAGCAATTCCTTAAACGTTTGAAAAGGTGAAGGAATACTGAAGACATTTAACAGCAGCGATGAAGTAACTAACTGATGCAGCCCATTCCCATTGTGGCAAGACAAAACCACGATCCATCTGGGGCTAGGAGACTATTTATTTTTATTTTGTTTCGACTAGCTTAGTATGGCATTTGCTGACGTCACATAGATCCAGATGGATATTAGAGGCACCCACTTAACTTGAAAAGCTTTACTAACCAAGAGGCACTCTATGACTTCATTTGCCTTCATTTTACTGCGGTGCTAAAACATCACGGTCCTGTGCAGGGAGCAGAGAGGGTGTGCTTGTTGGATAATTATTTATTTTCTTCCCTTTTTTTTCTAAAACATTGATGCATAAGCTAGGGCATGAAAGGTGGCAATGACTTCATAATCCAGCCTAAGTGAATTAATTCTTAATGTTGGAACCTGAATGTTCTAAATGTTACTGATAAAAAAAGAGCTCTGCAGTCCGTGGCTCATTATAAAAATGCAACTCAGCAGGATTGTCAAAGCAAAGAATCCAAACTGTTTTGTTAGGGAAGTTGACATTTTTGTACTGCTATCAGTAGGCATTTTTTAAATCAAATGTTTACTGTGCTTCCCTAGCACATTCATGTAAATTTAACTGCATGTTAAATGTAATGCAGTCAAAGCCAAACAAGCAAAGAAGCCCAAACTAGACACTATGGATGCCATGCAAATGGATCTCATATTCTGAAGCTTATGCCATTTGCAAGAGAAAATGTTTTTTTTGAGTTTTTTTTCCTATGCTAAAATTTGTCAGATTTGATGAGTATTTTTCAAGGCTGGAGGCTGGATTAGCAAGTTGGCTCATATATCAGCTTGAAACGCTTGTAACTCTTCTACTTTGCCTTCCATTTTCTTTTATCTACTTTCTTTGCTCTTCCCCCTGGAGGTAGTGAAAGTGGTCGGAGTACCCCCAGCTTATCTGCATATTCAGACAGCAAATCTCCTTCCTATGTGCAAGCGCCCAGGCATTTCCATATACCAGGTAGGATTTCATGGCTTTGCTGTAACCCTACACTTTGCTCTGTGCTTTCTCTTTCCCTTCATGTAATACATCCTCCTGCCACAGCGCCAAAGGTATAAAAGTGTCCACAAAAAACTTTTGTTTTTCTCTGTAAAAGCACTTTTGTCATAAATTCTTCTCACTATTGTGAATGTGAAAAAAAAAAATGTTTTATTCTTTTGGAAGTTATTTTGGATTCCACAGAAGTGCAATGAAATTGTTAGCTATTCTCATGATTACTCAGGCTTTCATTTCTGTAAATGATATTGTTCTTGTGCTTTTTATGAACAGAAGTACGCTCTTATCTTTTCTTTGCTGATATTATTGCCACTCATTCAGGGATACATATCTGTGATTTCTGAAATTGTATTTTCACCACCTGTACATTTATTCAGAACGGTTGTGCACCACCTGAAATTGTTACTAGGCACAAACTAAGAACAATACCTTGTAAAAAATCGTTATATCTTTCTTTAACTTTCTTTAAACTTAAAAATAAAATGGCGAAAGTCTAACATGCGGTAATGGAAAGCAGTTCCTTTTGTGATTCTTAGTGTAAATGACATCTGGGAGTGTTTCTCATATAGTCCATGCAGTTCATGTTCAGTGGCGATAAGAAATACTGTAGCACAAACAAAAATGTGCTGAAGACAAGGCAGGGTAAGCAAATGTTTACCTTCAGCTGTGACTATTCTAATTCAAAAAGAACACAATTTGTAAATTATAAGCATCGGCAGCACTACTATTGTCTTGAAAACTATTTTTTCAGTATAAATTTTTAATGTTGTGTGTGACTCCTGCTAATACATGTTGTATTGTGTGAAGTTCCAGAAACTACAGAAAGGACCTTGCTATGAAAAGCAAAGTCCTTTCTGTATTGTTATAAGCAACTGGAATTTTTGTAAAAGCCACTCTTGTACCCTTTACAGGATATCTTGTGTTCAGTAAAATATGCACTTTCAGGTGGAAGGCTAATTAGAAATAATACTTAAGATTAAAAAAATGAAATGTTAATGTTTAAAGAGGTATGAATATTTTGTTTTAGATAACCTGCTATTTAATTTTTTTTTAAAATAGAAACTTTATTTAAATTCCAAATCTCATAACTATCATTGGTGAACTCAGGTTGTGTATTCCTTAATCTGAGTTAATTTTACTGAATAAAGTGAACCAGTTTTTAAATAATATTGAAAATGTTTTTTTTTTAGAAAATAGGATGTTTTGAAAACAGCATTAAGTTTCTCTCTAAGGTGTTTTGTGTACAAACTCTAGCAAACTATAACAAATTCTGGAAAATCAATGTTAAATACAGTACTTCCATAAGAGGCCTATATTATTTAACATCCTTCTCTGTGGATTTACAGTATATCCTCTTTCATTTTGCCTTTTGATCCTTTATTAATTTGAAATGTGAAAAGTATATATCTGAATGAACATACTGTACAGTATGAGAGGAGTTTAACAAGCATTTAGATGGAGATACCAGTTAGCACTGGTGTTGTGGCTATTTGTCTATTGGGACCTCAGTATTTCAAAATTCCAGGTGACAATAACTGCATTGGTGCCACAGTGTTTAACATTTCTGCTTGGTTGCTCTTGGTCCTGGGTTCAGTTCCAGACCTGGGAGCTATCTAAAGCAAGATTGTATGTTCTCCCAGTGTTCACGTGGGTTTCTTCTGGGTGCTCTTCCTTTTGCAGTCCTAAGACATACTGTACTGGTAGTTTAATTGACATCTGAGAAAACTGGGCCTGGTGTGAGTGTGTGGTGTCTGTCTGTCCTGTGATGGACTGGCGTCCCCTCCAGGGTGTATCTCATCTGGCACCCATTGCTTGCTGGGATAGGCTCTGGTTTCCCTGTGACCCTGAATTGGAAGAAGTCATTAGGAAATGGATAGATGAATTTTGCATAATAGAAAAATAAACTCTTAGTATGCCTTCCAATAAGTGATCTTTGTTTTGAAAATGTGATAATACTTATGTAGGGGATTTATAAATGTTCAGGATCACGAACTGCCTGTAGGAAAAGAAAAGCATAAATGAGTAACAAAAGCAATTTGAATAATGAACTTTTTTGTCTTTCTATATTAACAGTACTTGTGTGCTCAGTGTAAAATGAGTGATTTTGGTTGTTTACTTATGCATTAGAATAATTTTTAAAATAAGGAGGTTGTTTCCTATTTTAAAGAACTGTTGATTTCAAAGTGAATGATGAAAGAATCAATATCCCACAGATTCATCCTTTTTCATGCATTGTGTAGGGCAGTACTAGACTGCAAAATGTGAATAAAGGGCTGATATTCACTGCCTATAAGGATATGCTTTGTGCCTTTGGAAGATCGTAGCCTTTACTTATGTCTGTTTCTGTTTTTATCCTCTTTTCTTTCTTTCCGTCTTCAGACACTAGGACAAAAGATAATATCTATAGAAAACCCCCTATCTACAAACAGCATGGTACAGTCCACTCTCCTTTTAACAATTTTCTGCATGATCTGCATGCTTAGCCAGTTACTGCTTAGGTCCAATGAATGTTATTTTTAAATTATTTTTATGGCGGCTGAATCATTATTTTTATTTGCCTTTGCCTATTTGCCTGCTGTCTCCTTCATTTGGTGATATATGATAGTTATATATTGCAGTCGGTTACTTAAGGTTTTTCTTAAGGCAGTGAGACACAGTGTTATCTTCATTTTGTAAGTTCTTGTTATACCATCAAGTTGTATTTCAGTAGATATACTAGACATTTAAAATGTGGAAAACTATCCCCATATGCTGTAACAGACAAATTAGGAAAGCTATTTAATGGATTATTTTTTAAAGTAATATGAAAATAATATTTTTTGTAATATGTTGTGTTAGATGTTTGCTTTTTGTCAAAAGTGAGTGCTTTATGTCTTGGTCATTATGAATTTCAACAATAAAGCTACTACAAATTATTTAGATTTACTTCTTTGTATTCAGCACTTCACAAATGTTATCTCTGTGGCCCAAAAATAAGCAGCTTGAAAGATGGCAGATTATGTGGTTTCTATCGTGGATCATGTGAATTAACATCAAAACCTGCTTGAAACCTTATTACGTGACACAAGCATGACTTCTGTTTGCCATTTTGCAGTGCTGCTTCTCTTCATGTCATATTCAGCATACGTCTGGGTAATTTAAACACATTTTTTTCATATCTGTCTCTTTTTTCTGTGTCTCTTTACTGTTTGCAGACATGCAAAAAAATATAACTTCTTTTACAAACTGCCCTTTAAAGCTGGATTGTGACCCAACCCAAGTTTGTTTAATGTTGAAGTCTTTTTAGTTTTTTTTTATTTTTACATTTCCTTTTAGATCAGAACGAAAAGGATACCCCCTTGTATAACAACAGAATGTCCCCTTTCAGTATCAGGGAAGATAGGGGTATTAATTATTGTTGCATATGTACCAGTAGAAGTGAGGTCATGCGCCTGATTGATATACTGTACAGTACCCACAGTACCTCCACTAGTGTTACTGTAAATCAATAAAAATGTGCTCAACGGTTCCACATGGAACAGAACAAGAGAATAAACCAGTAAACCAACATGTTTCATGGTGAAGTAGGACTGAGTATCTAACATTTTTAAAGTAATCACTGAACAATATGTTAACCGCAGATCTTTAAGATAGCAGTTCAACTCTGGGAACATGTAGGCTAAACCTGTCTGTCTGTTAGAAATTGCACGAGGCACTGCTTTTTTATTTTTCACATCTGAGGCTGTTTTTGCTCTCTTATGTCACAGATCCAAAAAGGATTGAGAGGTTCAGAAGCTCGAAATGAGTGTTTTATTAACCAGCATACATTTGAAAAAATGTTTATTGATACTGTTTTACAGTATTAAGGACATCTTGGCAGGATGGAGACGATGCAGACAGCAGAAAGGTAAGTTTATTTGGGGAAAAATAATACTATGAATACTTCTGAAAAGAAAAATAATTTAAAATAAGATTTAAATGTTTTCATGGTGTATATAAATGCTTATTTTCATTTATGGGCTTTATCTTCCTGTGTCATTTTAATCAAGGAAGAAAAATATGTTGAATTCTATTAACTCTCTTAGAAGAACACTTTTAGTGATGCAAAAAACAGTTCATGCTGTATTGTGAACAGGAAGAAGATCAAAAACAGGTCCTGGATATGTTTTTCAAAAGCTTTATTTGATTATTTGATTTATTTGTTGTTTGTCATGTGTACGTAGATGAAGACAAGCTGGTTGATTTTAAAGAGTGAGATGGACGCTAGATCTGGTTCAGATGATATCGACCCAAGAACGTCCACTTGCAGTCTTCCCATTGATTCCTCCCAGCCCAGTAAGTAGAGGTCATCATCTCACAAAAAGATAAAAATAAGATTTTTAATTGTGAAGTACTGAAGAATCTTGATCCTTTGCTATTTAATTCGTCAATATTTGTAGATATCTTTCCCAATGAGCTGAATAATAGTAAAGATATAATTGCATTAATCCTGATCTTTGCAACAATAATATTAAATTGTAGTTATAAAGCGCCTTTCCAAACCCAAGGACTCTGTACGTCATGAATAATTAGATGTAATATCACTAGCCTCTCATCCAATGGAAGAACAGTGTCCTTAGTCACCATACTGGGGCGCTGGAGTGGAATTCTGGGCCAGAACAAAAGTGCCACCTACTGGTCCATTAACACCACATACAGTAATGACAACAAACTCACTTTCTTGAAGATCTCCCATCCAAGTTCTGACAATCCAGCCTACATTGCAAGTTGGTAACATTGCTGTCATTAATGGTTGATGTTTCTTTTAAAAACATATATTGATCTTTTTTCAAAGGAAAAGTCTAATTTTGGCTAAAAAGGCAAAGGGTTTGATCTTCAGAATATGCAGGAGGTGAAGAGGGAAAGATGCGCTGTCAAACACCACAGTTAGCAAACTACAGCAGAATAGGAGAAAAACAGAGGTGCCAGCTACTGTATGTCTAACAAGACAGTTCATAGGAAAGGATAAACAGGAGTATTTAACCTTATATTCATGAAATCAATGATAGGAGATATTTCAAATAATGCATAAATATAATTGGTATTGCAACTGCCAGGCTGGTAAATTGGAGGAGTGGAACCATGAGGTTTGAAGTAAATGTCTGTCTTTGAGAAAATATGTTGAAATCTCCCATGTAAAGATGTCTTGTTTTTTATCTACAATTCAGGTTTCCCTTATTCTAAATCAGCCTCCCTACCTGGGTATGGTAGAAATGGAATCCACAAGGTAAATAAATTACCTTTAACCTTTTAACCTTTATATAATAACACCCAATTTATTTTTAGTGTTCATATAGGAAAATTGCTTGGGACTACTTTTTAATATCCAATAAATATAGTTAGATACAAACTTATTGGTACCATTCTTTTTAAAAAGGCTATCCACTAATTTATGTACAGGAACACTATTACACATTGTTTTTGTGTTGTTCATTTCGCATTGAGTGCATTAGCTTTCAAAAGATTAGTTCAAGGTTCTTTCAGTATTGGACAAATAGAGACAGATGTTACCGATATGAAAGCTTTAATAATGCTAAGCCATGATTAATGTTTTGTGCTGCAATTGGGCACACCTTGAGCAGTAATGAGATCCAACAAGTCATTCATTTCCCATCATATAGAACTCGAATACAGATGTAGCCTGTGGTGTAACACATGTATTGAAAGCAAACACAGCTGCATGTGGATTCCACACTGACTTATTACTTTGAAGTGATATCTGTGGGAATGCTGCATTAAACTTCATTCAGAGTCACCCTCATTCACTTCATCTGGCAAGAGCGAAACCTCTTCAGAACCAGGTACCCACATTTTTCTGTAGCAGACAGCCAACCTATAAAACAAGTATCATTTGCAAATTCTGTCTCAAAAATGTTGTGTTATAGACACACTATATTTTCTTACAGTTCTCAGGGTTCGCTCTTTTTCATTTGTAGGCTGTCACACATACATAAACTGCCCAAGATGATACTGTACACAATAGTGTCTGCTGTTCCCATTATTAAGAAGACAAAATAGAATTGTGTAATTAGAATTTTTTTAGTACTTATAATATAGAAATATACTCTTTTAACTGTTTCATACTGGCTTGACCTTATTTCATTTTCTTTGGAGCCATCTGCTCCAAAGAGGCGGAGAGGTGGCTCTGTGGCTAAGGATCTGCGCCTGTGACTGGAAGGTTGCTGGTTCAAATCCCGCGGCCGGCAGAGGAATCCTACTCTGTTGGGCCCCTGAGCAAGGCCCTTAACCCTAACTGCTCCAGGGGTGCCGTACAATGGCAGACCCTGCGCTCTGACCCCAAGCTCCTCTCCTTGTGTCTGTGTCTCCATGGAGAAAAGCTGGGGTATGCGAAAACACGAATTCCTAATGCAAGAAATTGTATAGGGCTAATAAAGAAAAAAAAACAATAGCTAAATACAATCAAAGAAATCAAAGGTTAATATATACTTATAGTTCAGGAAAATCATCTGGCTAATGTGACATAGTGTGCATAAATCATGGACATTACATAACCCACAGGAAAAGGGATAACCGAAATGTTGTTTAAAATGTTAAGCTACAGCTCTGTCTCCTAAATGGCACTTAACAAACTAAAAATGATCATGGTGACAACAGAAGCATCCACACCATATAGGATTATGACACATACAGTAAGGACTACAGATGTGGTTCATCCTAGAAGTAAGGTTCATACCAGGTACCATGCTTATCTCTTACTTTAAGCATGACGTTTAACGTTTCGGCTCCACGGCCGAAACGTTGTGTTTTCTTTCTTCTCTTTTCAGCATGGAATAAACCTATTACTTTTTCCTATATTATATTATTTTGAGAATCTCCCCTTGCTAACCAGAATATGAACAGAAGCGATTTCACCATCAAATTATTGTTTGTACTTTTGTGTTATCATTTGTATAGGAAAGTGCCAGGACACATGTAGTTAGTGATATGCAGCTTACTTAGGAATCTTGAACCCATTCCTGGCTGTACTAGATTAAAAAAGTACCAAAACACTCTTCCACACTTGTTCAGGTGTATAGTGTGTCTCACTGCAATGTACGATACGAGCAATGCTGTCTTCCTCTCCCTGCATTCATGTTTCTCTCTGTTGGCTGGATTACGTACAGTAAAATGACTTTATATGGATAACAAGATGGTTGATTGGTATTGCTCATTTTAAACATGTTTTTCAACCTACTACCCAATCATATTTTAATTGAAACATGTTCTGTATTGAAGTATATATTAACTAATGTCCCTATTTAAACTGTAATAATATTACATTAATCAGTCTGGTTACCTTACAGACGTGGTATCAGAGACTCCCTTTTATAGTTTGGTTCTGTTAGCACTGTTGTTCACTCCTGCTCACCTGTAGCAGAATTGTCATGTACAGTAAATGCTGTTTCTGAACATATCATGAGTAGTTTGACCAGTGTTTGTGCAAGATCAGCACATCTTATTTATAAAGCAATTTGCATTTTGCAGTAATTTGCATAACTCTCTCTGTGAAAACCCTGAATCCTGACAGATGTTGCAACTGGAAAAACTAAGTGCAGTTTTGATGTTTTATTTTAACATAACCATTGCCTTATAATGTCACACAATGTAGAAAAACTGAGTTAATAAGAGACTGGATTGAATCAAACGTCCAATGATGTAGATGAAACATGCCTTTGGCAAAGAAAAAGCCATCATCAAGTATGGAGTTTGTAATTTGCGTTTAATTAAGTGGTTTGAAGTTTTAATTCACTCTGGCCTAGGAATGAAATGGGAAACATCATCTGTTTTGTTATTTATTGGTAAAACCTACATTTTAACTAAATAAATAGGTCTGTGTGGATCACATATTTGTGATCTCAATTAATATATATAATAAAGATCACATCTTCATTAAATGCTCATTTCTGAGTATATCTGTCTGTGATTTCTGAGAATGTTCTGTCTTATTTGTTCAAATGCAGAACAAACTCATTTGATTTTGATATCCAGAGCTAGGATATATAAGATATCTTCTCTCTAGGATATCTAGTTAAACACATGTCACCACAATCCTAACACTACCAGTGTGTCACCTTAGGTTTACATGTTTGAAGTGGCCTGTTCAGGTCTATAGGACCTCCTCTGGGATCCTAACTCTTCCATGGTATTTCCCACCTGGGAAAGCTTGCACGTTCCTCTTCCTTTTAGACTTTGCTACACCTGGCTCTACTCATACAAGTCACTGGATCTTCTCTCTAACCCTTCAGCCTCTGTCTTTATTAATCACCAGCCACTGGAGTATTTAGTTTGATTGTCTCAGTGTCACTCAATCACAATTTTAACTTCAGTAATCATTTCAGCTCAACTCTTCACTCTGCAGCTGGTCTTATAGGACTCTAAATTAGTCATAAGGACTTGCCAGTTTCCATGCAAAAGCCTATCCCAGCAGCTTCTTTCCCTCATGTGGAATCTCACTCCCCCTGAGAGCTATAGTAATTACTCATTCAGACCAGCTGTGCCTCATTCTGCAGGTTCTAGATGGATCAGGTGGCCATCTTGGCTCATGGCCACACTGCTGGGCCTGGGTTTGAGTCAAGATGGTGGCCTTTTCACAAAGCCACCTCTCAGCGCCTCATATAGAACAAAGTAAAAACATGATGGATTAAAGCCTGTTGCTTAAACTGTTACCAAATATAGCCTAATATGTACTTATGTGTAATTTAAAAATATTAAAGAGCTTGAATGCTGGTCAGAGATTCAGGAATATTCCAGAGTCATATTAGAAAACACAATACCACATAAAATAAGGCTTAAAGTGTGAGGGGGATAACTTTTTTAAACAACTGTATCTTTTACTGCTATTGGTTCTTGTGCTTATATGGTGCTTTTCAATAAATGTCAGTGAATTTTCAGTACATAGGAACAAGATAAAAGCTCAGAGACTTGAGCAGAATTTTAATACAGTAGGTGACAGTTCTGCAGATTTTTACTTCTTCAGTATTTCCATAATATCTTTTAAAGAGTTAAAATTTGTAATTTACTACTGTGATGTCAGCTTTCTTTAGGACTATGTAAATACCATAATTGTTTTAGATGCTGCGTTTAAAGACCCCATAGAGGCCTGCTTTTAAAAATAACATTTTGTATTGTTGTAGAATGCTGTCATTTCAAGGTAACATCTGGTTTCTGTCTGTATTTTGGTTTAAATATATGTCATTTTTAAGAGGTCAATCATGAAATTATGCCTCTGGTGTTCTTATTTCTGCTTATCAGTGTTGAGAGATGTTTGAAATGTAAAAATGCATCTCTCCACTAGATGGCAATGTTTCTTGTTTGCAACAGAGGGATTGGTTTTCAAATGAAAATACGTGTTCCTTGTCATAATGTTCTTCTTAACATTGTAACAAAAAGCATTTTCTTGAGGTTAAAATACACATTAGAGCACAGTAGAAAAAAGCCACTTTTAAAAATACAGGAGGTTCTGAAATGTATTTTTGCAAGGCTTACAAAGTCTTATTTATTCAAACTATTATAACAAATTGTCATTACCTAAATAAGGTATAGATTTTGATACAAGTCGACTTTTGTTTCTCCATATCAGTTGCTGTATCAAATGCTTTCAAAGTCAGCAGATTCTGAGAGAGCAAAGTCTGTCGCCTGATTTGTATCAAATGACTGTTGTCTTAAAAGCTTGTTGCTTCAAAGTGTCTGTTCTTCATCCTAAAGGCCCACCATATCACATAGCGAAGCATGACCAGAGCTTTTTGAGAGTGGAAACTAAATATTTGTCTCAAAAATGCACGAAAATGAAGCCTTTCATTTGACATATATACATATGTTAGAACTGTAACTCTATACAATGAAACCATAGATTTTTTTAATGTCTAATTTTAGTAAAATATTCCAAAAACAACCACTCACAAAATTTCCAGTCACTCTATTTCCATATGGTACAGGATGTAGCCTTTTATCCTTCTGATGTACTGTACTGTGTATATCTGATTTAAGCAAAACTTGTATTATATCTTTGCCCAGGCCTCAGACCTCACTTCATATGAAGCAGAGCAGTACTCCAGCTGGGGAATGAGAGGTAATACTCTTGTAATTTCTATGGAAATTCTGAGCTGTTCCACAGTCGTCAATTACACAGGGAAAATGAATGATCATGGATAATGAAGCATGGTCATTTTTAGTATTTTCATACTCCATCTTACAGATACCTTTATACTTCACATTGCTCTGTGTCTGATTAAGGCAATTTGTAAAAGGGTTTTCAAAAGTCGCAGGTTTTAATACCAGACAGACATTTAGTTTTCTGTGCTAATGCATATTTAGAGTAGGTACAGTAATCGTAAATAATAATGTATTTCCAGCAGACATTAATACATTAATACAGACTCTTATACATTAATCTAAAGTTTATTTTCAGGTTTAAATGAGCAACTAAGGACATTTAATTAACTCATGAAATTGACTTTTGTTTTTCCTTCATTTCTGTTTCAGAGTACAAGGTGAGACAAACTGGCTACATTCCCTGAAAGAGAATGCTCAAGGCCTCCTTGTACAGTCTGAAAATGTTGGACCATTTATCTTTTTTTTAACTTAAAGCTTAGCACTAGTGTATCTCTTTCAATTTATTTAAGATTGAAGAGTCTGTTTTTGCAATTCCAGGTTTACCCCTATGAAGTTCTCGCAGTGACAAACAGAGCTCGAGTGAAACTGCCAAGGGATGTGGACAGAACCAGGCTGGAGGTAAGGGCTCTAGATCAGATATGATTTGATTTTAGCATATTCGGCACGATGGAATGGTAGTTAGAACTCCAGATTCCAGACTGGAAGGTTGTTGGGTTAGATTTAGTTTGGACTGCCGTTGTATCCCCACTGCAAAGTCATTCACTCAAGGTTTTTATTGTGAAAGCTCTGCTGTATAAATGAGTCTACATATCACCATTGAAAATGAAAATGTGTACTAAAATGTTTTACTTGCTAAACTAAATCCTTCCTTGTGGCTCTTGCCTTGTATTATTTTGCAATGGATTTTAGTTAATTATTTTTTATGAATTAATTGTAGCATAATCTTTTAATAATGAGGAAGAATAGCTGCACAATGTAAGCAAGCGCATCAGAAAAGACTTGATGAATAATTTTTACCATACACTGTAAAAACATAACATTGTTGTGGCTGTATATTATTACCGTACTGTGTGTAATGTCACATTCTGGAGTCATATGATATTATTGGAATTTGCAATTACTTTTGCTTTGTTGTTTGAAGTGCCACAGCCTTTTGGAAAAACAACAAGTGGATATGATAGTGTCAAAGAAAAAGTAATAAAATACAAGTGTACTTCAACAGATTCGAATGAGCAGTACCTCTATGGGTCAAATAGTCATATTCTAAGGGCAGTGTGTACAGTAAGTGCACATTATTTTAAATTGGTCAAGAGAGAAATAAGGTAAGATAAGAGATAAGAAATGGTGTTTTATACAAAGGAGCTACACAATATAAAGAAGAGTTTTGTGCATTTTTTAATTAAATTAGGCTTTGTTTTGGTGTCATCAAGACAACATTCAATTCAAAGGAAGTATCCTTCTGTAATACTGTAATATTCTGGTCTTTCCTCCTCAGCCTCAGCTCTTTAAACCATCAGTTTACTAGCTGAACTTCTCCCAGCTCTTCGGGTGCTACTGCTTCAAAGACACCTTTGAGAATCTGCAGACACATTAAGACAGCCAGCACTTGGACTGCGTTTCAGTTTTGCTGTATATTGGGTTCAGTTATTGAAAACAAATTTTAACCTGTATTCTTTATTCAAGTGCCAAGGGTACACAGGCGTGCTTTGTTTCCTGTGAAGTTGTTTTTTCCCCCCATCAACTTTGTGTAAAGCAGTTGTGAAGATGTGCAAGCAGGGATCTTAAGATTTGCTCTGTTAGTGCAGCTTTCCATTTCTGCTTAGAAGGAACTCTCAAGCCTCATACTGTAATTTACTTTCATGCAAAGTTCGACAAGCCTGGTTGGAGCTGTGGTCCTGCAAAGTGTATAACTGGTCAGCATGGAAGTTTCATAGTTGGATTGGTCTAACCTCTGGTTAAAGTGTTTATTGGAATTAGATATGGTATACTAAAAGGAGTTAGCACAGGGTTGTCTTAACCTCTGCTGAATCCCACTGGTGCTGACCTGAACTCTCCCTCTCATTCCCTTGGGCTCCCTCTTGCAAGTTTACCAATTGTGTTGACTGTTGTGGGAAGGTTGTGGTATGGAGCAAAGCCATTCTGTAGGCTGTTTAGCTCTCCAAGTCGCTCTGTCCTCAGGCCTGACCCCAAGCTGAACTTAGGGAGTGTGCTGATTTCTTTTCAAAACAATCACAAAGAGTAAGTTAGGATTTTGAATTTGTGGAAGTCATCTTAGCATGTATTATTTTGCTGTTTATGTTTTGAAACGTTCAGTGTTTTGACCTTGCTTTTTGAAGCTAGAGAATAGAATCATGGAGTTCATTAAACAAACACAAGCATTTCCGAGGCCATTTAAAAACGTTTTATTAACCGTTTGGTCATTTAGAAATAGGCTTGTTGTTCGTTTTGTCACTTTGTTTTTTCTTGAGTCTTTCACTTTTATGATTGAATGGGGAGCATTAATAGTCAGTCATAGAATTAATTAAGAACGAGCTGAAGAATTTCAAATACTAAGGAGAGACTGCTTAAAATTTCATAAAGGATTTGCAAAACCATAGCATATTGCTATTACACAAACTAAATGGATTTAGAATGAAGACAGCATTTGCTGTAGTGTTATTTTGCTAGGGTTTCTCAAACCACAAGAGTAGGGCAAGAAAGTAATATTTGTTCATCTCAAGTTTGCAGTAACGATTTACAGTTGTGTGCTTCGGCAGTCAGCACTGTGCCTTGTAATTGCTATAAACTGTGAATGATATTTTCCATATTAATTTACAAACTGAGTTGCCAACTAGGGAAATTCAGACCAATTTGACATCATGCAGCTGTATCACATTACCTGATACATTAAGGACAAGGTTATGCTTCCAGTGTTCTGGATCAATTTTAAAAATGCATTTGGTAATTAAATGTAGATTTATGTTTCATCTGTCCGGCTTCTAGGAATACCAGTTCTTATCAAAGATCCATGCTAACACATAGTTATACTGTAGATTACTGATGCTCAAGGAGTAATATTTATAATAAGTAAATATGAAGTCATTTTGTAGAAGAAGGGGCACAGAATAATAAGAAAATAAAACATAAAATATTAATTGAAGTTATTTTTCTGATTTATGTAGCCTTTAGCCATCTGCAACTATTATTATTTCCTTATAGCAGTTTAGTCCAGATAATTCCCCCAAAATAAGTGTTTTGGAATGCAGTGAATATAAGTATGCAGATCCTTTATGGTGCAACTAAAAGTTTCTCTCAGTCCTGCTTTAAGAAACTAGTGATATGAATATGGTTCTGAATTGTAACACCTTCTATCTGGAAATTACATGGTTTCCCTTTGTCCATGTGGGGTTTCTCCAGGTGCTCTTGGTTCCTCTTACCTTCCAGAGACATGACAGCTAGGTGAATTGGCATCGGTCTTTGCCACACTTTGGACAGGCATCCCATTCAGAGTGTAGTCCTGCCTTGAACCCAGTGCTTCCTGTTTGAAACATTGCTTAATAATGTTTAACGATGCCTTGTCTTCAAAACATTGATTTATGTGTCATTTTTGAACTCTTTAATCCATTTCAATGCTGTCAGGTATTATGTATTTGGAAAATGATTTATGATAATGACAGAATATTTTCGATGGGCATAAACCATAAACACATTGCATTTAAGGAATATGAATATTTGTTGTTTGCTTTTTGACAGTGCCATGGAGTAGAACAATGCTAAAGGGATTCTCTTTCTGCTTCTTGTGTATGAATTCAAAATTAGAAGCCAGGGACAGTTGTTATTCCATTGTTAGGGTACATCATAATCCTGAAAATTATGTTCCCAGCAAGAAACGTAAGATTTATTTTACAGTAATTTCCATACTTTCTTAGTAAAGATCTTAGGGTTGTGTGGGAATTTAAAAACCAAAAGGATAAGCTGGTTTCCGACAACTTCACAGCACAGAAACTGTCCGGGTCAAAGTCCCTAATGATTTTCTAATAGTTTCTGATTCTGGTTCTCTTTCTATTCTCATTCTTGAGCTCAGTGCTACTTTCGACACTGTTAACCATGATATCTTACTTTCTCGTCTTGAGACTGTGTTTGGAGTTTATGATACTGCTCTTAAATGGTTCAAGTCTTACCTTATTGATCGCTGTCACTTAATGGGTATAGATCTGAAATTGGACTAGCGTTTCTCGGGGTTTGATACTGGGGCCCCTAACTTTTCAGCATTTACGTGTCTCCACTTGGTCAGCTTTTAAGATCGCACGACCTCAAATATAATTTCTGTGCTGCCAGTACTCAAATCTACATCCATACCAAATCTGACACTAAACACTGTCAAGAGTGAAGGCATGCTTATTGGCACCCCTATCAACTTTGTAAAGCCAATGCTGTAACCCTATCTGTGGATGGTTCTGTACTTGAGCTTCACTCAAAATTGAAAAACCTGGAGATGATATTTGATTGTGCCACATATTGTCAAAACATCATTCTTTCACCTCAGAAATATCAACAGACTATGTCCTATGTTATCGCTGTTGCTGAAAAATTAATCAATTCGTTTGTCTTCTCCCGAATTGACAGCTGTAACACTCTACTCGCTGGGGTTTTCTAAATCCACATTGAACAAACTCCAGCATGTTCAAAATTTGGCAGCCAGAATCCTGACCAGATCTAGTGCAAGTGACTGCATTACTCCTATCCTGGAGTCCTTGCACTGGCTTCCTGTCAGGTTTTGTCGACTTCAAAAGCACCATGCTCACCTATAAGGCTCTGCATGGCTTGGCACCTCAGTAGCTGTTTGAGCTACTATTGACCTACTCCCCACCTTGTAACCTTCGCTCTTCTAACCCTGGTCTCCTGTCTCTCCCCCAAGCCTGTCTACACTCTACGGGTGACAGGACCTTCTCCTGTTATCCTCCAAAGCTCCTGAACTCTATCCCTAAGGATATCAGAGAGCCACCTTCCCTCAACTCTTTCATATCTAAACACAAAACTTTCTTCTTTAGAAAGGCCTTTACTTAACTATTTCTGTTATTTACCCCTACCATATTCAATACCCCCATCAACTGTCTCCTCTCATTGTGTATTTTCCTTGCAGATATCTTGAGTATTTTTAATGGAACAAGCCAGGTCCATGAAATGTCAGTGCAGTGGAAAACATTAGTGCATAAAACTGAATAGCATGCCCTCTACATTTCCTTTCAACTCAACCTGAAGATGCTGGCAGATGTCAGTGGCTGTTTGCCTCTTGAGGTGTATTTGTTGCATCAGAACAGTTAAACAAGTGGAACTAGTGCATAATACATTTATCCTTTATGCCTTTTTGTGTTTTTAAATAACTTTCACACTGTAGTTGCTTTTTTCTGTCTGTGTTCACAGTCCACCAAGGAACATGTATGCAATTCAGATCTGGTTTTTAAACATTGTCAATTTAATCACAAACACAATCATCCATAGATGGTTTGCCAAAGTGCTACAGTTGTATGTAAATGAGGATACTCTCCTGAAGGTCATTTAAATAATTGATTTTCCATTGATTCCAAAGATTGGTTGAATTGTGTTACTTTAGATCTGTATGTGGAAATACATTTAAAACTCAGAAGAGGAGGCACTTCTTTACCCAAAGAGTTGTGAGAGAATGACTATCCAGCCAAGCGGCCCTGTTGATGCCCTTTGTTTTTCAAGACACGACTGGATGAGATCTTATATTCGTTAACTACTAGCAACCAAATGTGTTAGATGGCCTACTCTTGTTTGTAAATGTTCTAATGTTTTTATGTCTATCTAGCCAGTTTGGTCATACATTTTGGATTTGGGAACTAAAAAGTTCTAAGGTTGTGTTAGGGTCTTGCAAATGTTGGTTTTTCAGAATCCAAATCTTGCCTGAGTTAACATCATTGTATAGGAACAATTTTGATATAGACCAGTTCAATCAGGTTCTGTATTTTTGTAACATTTTATTTTGTATGTTATGATGTTTTAAGTTAATTATCTTTATTGATAAAGATAAAATATTGTCTTTGTTACACTGTGCTAGAGCATACTGGTTATGTTGTATCTGGCCCTAGGTTTAATCTTTAATTTCAATTACTTTAATTGTGAATCGTTCTAGGTCCTGGTCAGATCAATTAACACATCTGCTCAATAGTTGTTTTCTTTATCTCTTCCAGCACTGACTTTATTAGACAAATACCAGAATAAGATTGATAATTCATTGTAAACCTAAATTGTATTCCATTCCAAAATAAACTGGAAATGCTTTAATGCACTTTTATTTTTGATGTAGTTCTGTTTTTTCATTCATATTTGTATCAAGTTCATTCTGGATACATTTTTAAAAAATAATAAGTAAACCACACAGATGTTGTGATAAACCCAAATACTAATAGCATTACATAAATCTACTTGTATTTTTTTTATGGACCCTGAGTGAAATCTCGTGTCCGTCTTCAGTCTTAGAGGAGTGCATTTCTGGTTTCTTTTCATTTATATTTTCCATACAACTGGAGGGGTTCATTGTGTTATTGGGTATCAATTATCTAGGCACAAATCATTCATGCACCATTTTCAGCATCTGAAGCAGATCCATCATGCCAGACTTTGTACCAGGTGCAGGTCTGGCCAGGAAATACCCAGTAGACCACTTACCAGGAAAGGAGGCAGGGAAAATAAAAGGTCTGTGCCTCAATACAATACATCCTAAAACAACCATGGTGACATATTGAATCCCTTCTGGGCTTTTCAGAGGCTATATTTGAATAAATCATTGATATTCCATTGAGTACAAAGACTGGGTGATTTGTTTTATTTTAGATCTATATGTCTAATCAGACAGATGAGTAGCAACGTATTGCATAACCTACCATACAGCAATGAATAGTTATTGGTCATTAGGTACTTGTATATCCTAACCAACAATTAAGTTAATATTGGATAGCCATTCAAATAGACTACATTTCACATACACTAAAGATCTATAGAAGCCTCATCTGATGTCTGATTGGTTAGTTTGTTTCAAAGGTGACACAATGGTAGCATATATTAGTGTACGTTTCAGTTTAACTTATGACTTAAACAAAATTTCTGGCACTTTTGAGATAAAAATGAAAAATTACCCTCTGAAAAACATGTACTGTCAAACCGTCTACTTGTCACACTGCAAGGCAGCAGCACAAATAACAGGACATCAGAAGGAGAACCAATAAATGCCATGTAATGTCCATTTATTCTTCTCGTGTGGTGTATATACAGCGCCTTGGAAAGGTTTCCAGAATCTTGCAGTTTTTACATTTGTTTTTTCAAAGCTTGCGGCCATGACAGTTTGAAGTAGCAATTAATATTTTTTATATTCACAACTTAGTCCACACATTCAAAGTAAAAACAACAAAAAGAAATATGTAAATGCATAATATGGAAGAAAATGGGGAAAACTCATGATTAAATATTCATACCCTTTGCTGTGGCAAACTTAATTTGGCTGCACAAAATTGCCTTAAGGAGCCACACAGTCAGTTGAGTGGCCTCTGTAATCATGGTGGTTTTCGTCTCTCACTGTAAGGTCCCTCAGTCAGGCAGTGAATTTCAAACAATGATGCGATCATAACCACCAAGAAACTTTCAAAACAAACGGCAGGATAAAGCACAGAACATGAATCAAATTAATTAGGATATCCATCCAATTCGAGCATCAGGGCAGAGAGAAAACTGATTAGGGATGCTACAGTGAGAACATTGGTGACTTTGAAAAAGTTGAGTGGCTGAGATGGAGATACAGTAGGTCAACAATATCCCAGTCACTCAACAAAGGGGGCTTGTATGGAATTGAAAAAGTATCTTCAATCTCACCTGGAGGTTGCAAAATACTGTATGTGACACTACAAACATGTGACAAATGATGGCAAAAGATTTTGTAGTCAGACAAGACGAAATTGGAAGTTTTTGGTTTATAAGCAAAGTATTAAGTCTGATGCCAAACCAACAGAGTATATAGCTCAAGTAACACCATCCATACCACAGCTGAAGTGTAGTGAGCATACTGGCACACTATGGTTGCCATTGCATCATCCAGGTGGATGCTGCACATTGGTGGTGGTGGAGGGGAGTTCCCCATTACCTGTAAAGAGCTTTGAGTGGAGTGTCCAGAAAAGCGCTATATAAGTGTAAGAATTAAGAAGAATAACAATCTTATTTTTCTTTTTCTTCTTATTATTATTATGGGAACATAGATCAAGGAAAGTACTGGCAACCTTAGAAAAAAACCTGCTTCAGACACAAACCCATCTTTCAGCAGAACAGAGGCCCAAAGCAAAAAGTCAAAGATTAATGTCCTAAAGTGGGCCTGTAAAAATGCCATACCCGAAAAAGGCTCCACAGCCAAAACGTGTTTTCTTTCTTCTCTTTTCAGCATGGAATAAACCTATTACTTGTTACTGTAAAAGTGCTGACTTCAAATTCTTTTGAGAATCTGTGAAAAGCAAGGGCTGATGTCCAAAAGTGATCCCCAGTCAACTTCAGAGCTTAAGCAAATCTTCCAAGAACAATGGGCAAAAATTGCACCAAGCTGGTGTGAAAAAGTGGTGGCTGAGACTACCCCAAAATGACTTGAGCCTGTAACGGCTGCCGAAGGTGCTTCCACCAAATATTGACTTTATGGATTTGAATACAACATATTCCATTATTTCTGTTATATTTTCTCGACATTTACAGTAAGTTATCCTGCTTATAATAGTCTTCAGTTTGAGCATTCAGGTTTTTAATCAAATATTAAGTTTTAAAAACGTTTGTAGGCATCATTTTGTAATCTCACAAAAAGGGACATCATTGAAAAGGGTCTGAATACTTTGCTAGACATTGGATATAGAATTAGATATCTTAAAACGTTGTTTCATTTGAAAATCTTTCTTGCTGCTTTGTGAAGCCTGCCAAATCCATAAGTGCATGTATGATATCACAGTCAAAGCAATGTGTTTGAAATTAAGCAAAAAAAAAAAAGAATCCAGTGCTATAACATGCAAGTGCTTTCCTCTTTAAAACTTCAGTCTACGAGACCGCAGTAAAGAACGTTTTATGAGACTTCATAGTAGACTATTTTTCAAACTGCAATATCTGTAGGTTCTTCTTTTCTGAGTAAAGGCTCTTGCCCAAAAGCAAGCTGAGCTCTGAGATCAAACCTGGGTCATGCCTCTAGCTGACTGTAACTAGGATTACTTAAACAGCACCAGCACACAATTGGCTAAATGCCCTTGAGGGTAGGGTGGGATTAGTTGGCCAGCACTCAACTGTAATCAGTGCTGTTGATATGGAATTTGCCTCTCCTCAAGTCAGCACTGAAACTCCAACATTGGACATGTTAAAAAGATGAGGTGAAGGTAGGCGGGTTGGAGGAGTCTGCTTCAACTCCTGCATTCTCCCCCATCTGTGGTCACAAGGCGTGTAGCAGTGAACCAAGAAAAAACACAGTTGGCTATTCTACATCTGGTGGACATAACAAAAATCACTACAGTATGTGTTGATTCTGTTTAACTAAACTGAAGTGTCTAGTAACATTGTTCTTGTTCTCACATATAATTGAAGTGTTTAAAAACAGACTACATTTCAATTTTTGTAAATATTTGCACTTGATGAATTTACCTTAACACTTTTTGTCATTTTTGTTGTTGTTTTTTTGTGATTTAATACCCTTTTTAAAAATGTTTCAAATTCTCAGAGGAAACTGTTTTACCAGTTCAAAGAAAATGCACTGGATTGGATTGTGAGGAATTGCATTACATGCTTCTGTTCTCAAGTCAGATGAGAGAAAACAATCACATGTCTGTTTATAAATGCTGAATGATTTCCAGCCAGAAAGATTGTCGGTGCATAATGAGAAGTGAAGCATAAATACTGTGCTGACTGATGGCTGATGTCACAGTTTATGCATTTCAGTGTTTGTATGTTCCTTCCACATTTCAATCACATTTGTGGGAGTATGGGAGAAGGTACAGTACATAGCTATGTCGTTGAATATGATACCCTGGCTTCTTTCAAGAAATGTCTGGAAGAGATCATCAAATCGGTTAGCTGCTCACTATTTCACTGCATTTGAAGAAAAAATGTTGCATGTCTGCTCCATTGTATAGTGTGCGAAGTTCTGTTTAAATCTGCTTTTCTGTTTTGTTTTTCAGAGGCATTTGTCCCCAGAGGAGTTCCATAATGTCTTTGAAATGACGATTGAAGAATTTGATCGCTTAGCCTTGTGGAAAAGAAATGACCTTAAGAAGAAAGCACGTCTTTTCTAAAAATTAAAAAAAGAAAGAAAATGGTATCAAAATTGTTGCTTAGCTTCCGTCCTGCCTGACAAAAGTATATATTTACTTTCTTGCAGAATCGTCACTGTTAGAATAAAAACTAATTGGAAGCCAGCAGGGATACAGAGTAGCTAAAGTTGCATGGCCAGCTTTGTGTTTTACCCAAGTGTGACACTGGTCTTAGCCATAACCCTTTCTTTGCTGGACAAATATTCTTTCTAATCCGCACACAGGTCTTTGTTGCAGTTGGTACTATGAAGTAACTCACCTGTACACAGCTCATTCTATTAGATACATTGTCTAATTTTGCTGCAGTAAAGACTAATTAAAAGTTATTCAGCATCCTAAGGCCAAAGCATGGATGAGGAAAGATTACCTTTTTATTTTGTACCACAGAACAAAGACTAAGCACCTTACTATATTTTTCGATAAACCTTTTTGTGCAAAGATTGAAGTGTATGTTTCAAATTGACGAAGGCTATATTTTTAGTTGATGTATTACTATTTATTGGAGTGCTGAAATTCTCTGAAATGGTTAGTTGTATTGAATACATGATTTATTAGTGAGACTGAAAACAAAACGAGGGAAACTGCCCAAGAAATTCCTGTTTATCACAGAAATGCCTTACTAGTGGCACTACCAAAACCTACATATGCATTTGCAAATGGGAAAGACTGATTGAGGTCAGTTGTGGTTGCTACTGTATGTCACCATGAAACAGCAATAACAGAAATGCAGATGTACCTCTAATTTAATTTTTTATTTACAATCTTCCAATAAGAGTTACCTACTTCCCAAAACCAACCAAGGGGTCATTATTGTTGAGAAAAGGTTTTCAGTAAAAAAGCCTTTTCAGAACCCTGAACACTAACTTTGAGCTTAGACAAAACTTGATGCCTAAGTACAGCATGTTTTACATGTCAATAGGTAGAGCTCAGCAGGGCTAGGGTTTCCTACAATACACAGTGATAGTGGTTGTCTGGAAGAGAAGGGCTCTAAACAGGAATTAGTATGCAGTGGAATGGGGTGAATCAGTAAACCTATTGATATGTTTTTGTGTTTCTGCCAGGTTATGTCAGCATGATAGCAAGCATGATTTTAATTGGGAACATTCCCATGATTTTCAGCTGCTGTGTTTTATGGCACACATACTGGACAGAATAAAATATTGAAATGGCACTACAGCTGGCATGATAGCATTAAAATATTGCGTAAAAGTGCACAGCCGGTGTTCTGATACCAAAACAGAAATCCAGTGCTAGTGCAGCAGTAGTCTAAAAGTAACAGCACATATTTACAGTAGGTTCCACAACACTTGTTTTTGTAACTACTCACAACACTTTGAGCTATGTTCACTTATTGGAAATCTTAAAATCTTTGCTTTGCTTGCTGCATAGACACTGCGTTTTGTAAAGCTACCAGATAGATCAGGTTAACAGCAGAGGCCTGAAATATTTTCTACTCTGTATTTTTACTCCCCCAGATATTTTCTTAATAGAATTCCACAATGATAAATTGTCCTCTGCATTCATTTCTTGCAGTTATTTTAAAAGACTGTCTTCAGACACACTTCAGATCTTATGTTCCCCTTCCATTCCCTCAGACATTGGTTTATCAGATCTACTGTATACAGACCATTTGCATCCTGACAGGCAGACGTGTTATCTAGTTGTTGAGGTCTGGACTCAGGAGAGCAAATCATGAGTTCAGGTCCTGGGTAGGACACTGATTTTGTACTGTTGATTAAAATATTTCACTCCATTAAATGCCCTGCTGTGTAATGGGTCTTCAAATAAGCACAGACATTTATTCACATTTTGTCATTGTGAATAAACGTCTGTGCTTACTTGTTCACAGAATTGACTTATCTGGCTAAATGAAGGGTTGCAAATTGTCTCTATTATCCCTAGGTATATGCCAAAGTACACTTACAATTCATACGATTCTCTGGAAATTGCAGTGTACAGGATAGTGTCCAGTGTATGTTTTTATAAAAGGCTGGTATGTAATTTCAATCAAGAACCTGAGTTTGTGGGTTTACTCCAGACAGTCTAATGTGTAATCTTTCTTGAAATCCGTTCATTGCATTTCTTTAAGATTATAAAAAATATTTAGGACAATCTTAGTGTCGTGTGATCACTACATTACTGTACATAATTCTGTATGTAACTTAGAATTCACTTAAATCAGGGGCCTGATCCTTTTTTTCCCCTAAGATATAATACTCACAAATGCTTGTTTGCTGTTATTGTAAACCTGTATAAAGCAAGCAAGAAATAAGTACAGAATGCGGTCTACATCTGTGCTTGTTAAATCTGAATATACTGTATTTGAGCATTTTCTTTAGGATGACAAGGGCAGACAGTTTTCAGTTTCAGTCTAAACCAGCTAGTTCATCATATGAGGCAAATTTAATAAATGAAGACAAATGCTGTGTACTTCAAAAAGGATGTGGGATTTACATATCTATTTTTATAAACATCTTTAAGTGTCTATGTAAACTCCAAACAGTTCTAAAAGTAAAGAACATACTTGAAGCACTAATTTTAAAAAATGTCATTTTCATGTACAATTCAATACAGTTCTCTTTTTCTGCATATTTGATAAAATACAAAAAGGCAAAAAGGCTAATAAATGCCATGTGATGCAGAAGTATGGCAAATGTTTAGCCAAGCTTTATTTCTTTGTCTTAACATGCAGATTTAAGTATTTAAGTCATGTTTATTTAGCCATTACAATGCCTGAATTATTAGGGTGGTTTTATTTTGCCTTTATGCCTTTATTTCAAGTGGATTTGTGTTGCAGCTCATTTTTTACAGTTCAGAACTGTGTTGCATATCAGATACGCCTGGCTGATTTTTAAACCGTGCTCTAACAGAAAGCTGCCTATTGAAATCAGTTGATAGCATATTTGTATTGTATAGAAACAATATTAAAAGTGAACAGTGGGGGCTAATATCTTGAGCCTAGACAAGTCAACATTTTTGCTCACTCAGGCTCTTAAGTCTTTAAATTTGAAGCTATAAACAGTAAATGCTAATGTCTTGGATTAGACAAAAGTCAAAATTTTGCTCAATCTGGTCATTGAATCCTTATAATCCTTTAAAATTGTTAAAACCATAGTTCTTTCACATTCTAATTATTATGTTTGCGTCTTCTTATCCAAATTAACATTGTTTCAAAGAAAAATTATATGATTCATCATGTAGTATGCAAAATCCAAAATTCTGGTAGTATGCTTTTTAAAGGAAGGATAAATTGCTTCTTATATTGTACATGATGTTGTAAAAACTTTCTTCAGCTAAATGTTCACCACAAATAAATCTCAAACTAAGTGAAATCTATTGTGTCCGAAGTGCTATTGCATTTTACATCTGCATTTGTACTTTTTAGCACCTGCGTCTATAGTCTTTAATGTACATGTAAGGGTGTCTATCAGTAGGAGCAAATATCAGTGAAATGTTGCTCTTTTCCCATTCTGTTGCAAACATTGGGTCAGCTTGTTGATTACATGATATTTTCTTATATACAGTACTGTATGTGTAAAGAAAGAACAACCAAATGTAACATGTTGTCATTACTATTAATGTTTGTATTTGTGGCACAGCAATTTGAAGGTAAAAGGTCAATATGGCTTTAAGCCTTTTTCTTTTGGTTTGCTGATTTGCAATAAATGCTTATGCTCATCTTATGTTTCATTCGTTTGAGTATTAGTCATTCTGTCAAAGTATTTTATAAATCACATAATGGAAAATGGAGATTTTTTTTTCCTGTCAAAAACAAACTGTATTCCAAAGAAAAACATCTCACAAAAGTAAACACTTTCACAGTCTATACACTTTCTAGCAATATACTTTATCACACTACCATGAAGTAAAAGCTCTCCAAAAAAGGTGCTTGTCCTTCGTCAATCATAGTAAGTGGATGATGGGGCCAGATTTGCTCAATGAGAGAGACCCTCTGAGCCCTACTCTTGCTTTTGTCCATTAGTCCCTGTACAGGGCCCAAAGTCCTTTCCAGTGCTCCCTCGCCGTGGGGAAACCCCATTTGGCGACATCGTGCTTCATCCTCCTTCTGAGGTCCGCCAGGATCCTCTCCTCCAGCTCCCTTGCTCCCAACTCTGTGTTGTGCCGGGTGAGAGTGTTCCTCGCGTTCCACAGTCCATGTTTCATGAGGGACACCAACAGTCAAAGCAGGTACCGGTTGGTTCCAGCCCCAGCAGTTTGCACTGGTAACTGAGCATTGTTCTCACTCCCAGGAGTCTCAAGGTGTTGTCCATCCTGCCCCATACCGCCTTGGCAAATGGGCAGCTCCAGAACATAATGGAAAGTGGAGATACCAGGTCCATGTAGACATTATTATTTACTGTAAAAAGACATTTTATGAATCCACAACATTGGACTTTATACACATTGTGCTTGTTAAGTTTATTGTGTTGTTTTTTTCACTTTGGGGAATCAATGATGAATTTTGAGGAAGACTCCGGATTGATCCTTTTCTAGGAAGAATGAGTAATTCAGTAAGCTTAGAAGAGATCTGACAATCAGAACAGTGCTTAGTCCTGGTAAAAGTCATGATAGCAAGAAGCCTTTACCTGAAACATGGGGAGCAAGGTCTGAAAGCCACTCCTTTGCAGGAAACACACTAACAAGGACAAATGACCAATTTAGGGTTGCCAATAAACCAAACTACCATGTTTCTTGGAGGTTCTTGGAACGAAAGTCTAATTACAGCTATATTTAGTCATTCAGTAAATTCAGATTCCATGTATTAACTCTGTCTTCCATCCATCCATTTTCTAACTGCTTTTTCCAATTCAGGGTCACAAGGAGGCAAGAGCCTATCCTGGCCAGCAACAGGTGCAGGGTACAACCTGGACAGGACGCCAGTCCATCGCTGGGCACACACACAGATATGCTCTCACTCACACCAGGGCCAGTTTTCCCAGAAGCAAATCAACCTATTAATACATTCTGGACTTTGAGAGGAAACCCACACAGACACAGACAGTTCTTTGAAAGAACATACATACTCCACGCAGATAGCACCCCAGGTTCTGAATTGAACCCAGGACCCCAGTGCTGCAAGGCAGTAATGCTAATTGCTGTGGCACTGAGCCGCATGAACTCGATCTTGATGACTGAAAATCAGGAAAGATTATTTTGGTTGAAGACCCAGTTATTCAAGCCAAAGATAAAAAAAAACAACAGTTCCTGTACCAAGGACAATGTGATTTACCATTCCCAGAAATTACTAAATGTGCTGTACAGAGACTTGCAAAATTATTTACTCCTCTGCAAAATTTCCACATTTTGTTATCATTTGAACTTGTAACCATGGCACTTTCAAATATTACTTTATATTTATAAACTTCAGTCTGCTTGATACTGATGAAGCTGAAAGTATGTAAATTCTGTTTTTCAATAACATTTAACGATTCTAAAATACATGAGAATTGCTACAGCAGCAAAGATAGTTTTAAAGATCACACAATTAGCATGGTGATCTATGTGTATAAGGAACAAAAATGTTAACAAACTGTATTTGATCTCAATTACAGTGTCCAATTTGATCGTTGCAGTCAGGATAAAGACAGTTCTTTGAAAGAAAACACCAATGCTTGTTATTCATCAAAACTTTGATATTACTGGTGTGGGAGGACTTTTACAAAGCACTGTAGCACTCATGCTGTAATATACTTCAGCTGCAAATAACATGCGCTAAAAAACATGAATCACTGAACATCCCACATGATTCACCGTGGGAAAGATATGAGTCTAGAGCTTCTAGTCTGCTGTCTGTACAGTGTCCTTGCAACAGCTTGACAAATTTAAGATAAATCAGAATCCGCTGGAAGCGTGAGCGGCGTATCCTCATGCCTCCCACAACATCCCATTGAAAACACCAGACGGATTCAGTTAAAAAGGCTACAATTGCGGCAGGTTGAAACTACAGATTTATGAAACGAAAGAATCACACTGCATAGAGGATTCACATATTTTAATAAAAATTGCTGAACACGAACTGATGCCGCTATGCTCGCCAAACATTTAAAATAATTGTTTGGATTTGCGAAAACATAACCTGGATGCTGATTGGCTTGAGTTCGCGCGAGCGTGTTTTTAGTGGTCCTTCCTCACGTCACACAAACCCTTCGGCGACTTCTGTCTTTACTCACTGCCCTCCTCCCCATAGCTTTGCCTTTTGAAATTAATGCGGTGCGCTTAGGCTTTACGTTCCTATTCAGGCTAAACACGGGGAATTTTGACAGTTCGCGTTACAGCCTGATCCCAGAAGTTAAGTACACGAGTTGGAGAGCCACAACGTGCCAAAGGGTCCATCCAGTTTGTCGGAGAGAATAAGGAAATACACGGCAATACCTGGGAATAGAGCACATTCAGCGTGGGATAGTACACTCAAGGTAAAGCTCTTCATGGTTTGTGTTTCTTTGTTTTCTTCTGTCTTCTACTGAAACAATTTGATGACTTAAAAAAAACTGTATTCATGGAGGGTTAAACCGGCATTCGGTTGCTTTACCAATCAAAGTTAGAGTTAGACTACCACAGAATTGGCTTTTTTGCTGTGGTTGAGGTTTAGCAATTTCCCATTGTTCAGACTTTTGTATTACTAGTAAATATAAAGCACCGTATCTTCCTATCGGAAAGCATAATTGCGTTTCCATTAATTTCATGCGTTCCAGATATGATTCTTTGGGATTACGAAATGAGGATGTGAATCAACCAGTATCATTTTTTTTTTTGCATTTTCATGATGCACGATTCGTTATTTCGTAAACCAACTGTAAATATTAATCTTTTATGATTTTGTCTGAAAATCCCAATGCAGTCTGGCTTCATTCGACTCGTGAAATCGATACATTTGATAAAATAATTCCAATGAAATATTGGTAGACCCATGTAACGGTGTACACTGCTGTTAAAGAACGCCACAAAGAGCTGTGATGACAAGGACCGGACAGCGTGATGTATTGTCAGCACGGCATCTTCACGCCAGTGACAGGAGGGTGATGATTGTGTATGCTGAGCACGCCGCAGGCGTCTTGATTTGTAACAGGATAACATCACCTGCCCCTAGTGAGTATGTGTGTGAGAGCCTATGGAGCCTAGACGAGAGTATGGAAATATAGAAAACATGCAATTAATCAAATGCAGTACAGCTGGTCAAGGGTTCTTATAGAAAAACAAATCACGTTATTTGTGTTCTGAGGATAAAAGCCAAGAAAATGGATTTGCTCTCAACTACCGTGATTTTGCTGCTAAATGATATATAGGTATGAACGGAAAACACAATGTTGAAAACAGGACTGCCACTGAATTAAAAATACTGAAAACAGGATTTCATGCATCAAGCAAGGTGGGGGGGAAAAAGCCACAAGCAGACCATGCATACATTATCCTTAGTCATAGAGGGTGCATTAGAGAAGTGCTGTCGTGGTAACTGATATGACACATTATGAGCTTGCTTTGTTATGACGTAATTCTTTTGGAAGAATTGATCAACTCTATATTTTTCCATTTGTTCCCTTATTTACACCTTCCTTTTTAAAGCTTTTACACCAACGGTTATCTTAAATCGCCCATCATGTTGTTTTCAGTTATTAAATTTAACGATCCACCTCCCTGCTTCACTGACAAAGGATTGTCTACGGTGTAGACATTCACGTGAGTGCAAGCTGTTCCATGAGCAAGCTGTGCTGTTGGCTGGTTAGATTGTTCTTTATACTGTAAGATGGAATGAATTCGCACACAGTGCCTGATCATTCAAATCAAGTGGAGCTGTTAAAGTGCCAATAATGGTGGTCCTACAGTATATAGATTACAAGTAGCCTTCCTGCTTGGGGTTCCTGGCAATGGTTAGGAAACACAGCTAAAATATAGCCTTGATATAATCATGTGATCTCCAGGCTGTGACTCCTATACTATGGGTGCACTCATTTATCAAGAACCACTCCACTGCCATCACAAAGCTTTATGTGAAATACAGTAACTCCAGACAACTCATTTTAGAGATTTATAGTTGTTTGTACTGTACACAAAATTACTGGACCCATATTTCTAATGCTAGGTCTGTCATCCTTTTGTGCCTTTTCTCAAAATATAACCACGGCACCTTGTACCAGAGCTGAAACTCAACAACTATTGATTTCCTGTAGATGACAATGCTGTGTTGCGAAAGTTAACAATATGTAAATGTAAGTGCAGAACTATTTGACATCAGCTGTGGGGAAAAATCATCATCAAATGATACAGGTTGTTTAACTTTGAAATTCTTTCCATCTGACATCTTCCCCACAAGCTTTGAAACGTAAAGCGTTACAGATGATCTACATTCAAAGTGTGCAATAGCATTCGGTGCCGTGCCTTATTTCTTTCACAGATAAGAGACTGTTACTGTAGCTTTTACACATTTCCCACCACATCTCCTCAAAACCACAGATTTCTTTCCTAATGATATAATCTCTTACCAATCAATAATATTAAAATGAGCTCAAGCTGAATCCTGACTAAATATAAAGAGTGGGATACCGTAGATTCTTTAAAATGTTTTTCGGCATGTAAGTATATAACCTTCCTTGAAACTGACAGGTTTTTTCTTGACAGACTGGTATATAACACATGGCTGGGCTGACATTTAATCCTAATGACTGCAAAACGGAGACCGCAGCTGCTATTATCCTAGAAGTATCAATGATGTATTTCAGATTGACATATCTTTTGGACATCTGTTTCATCTGGAGACTAATGTGTAATCCTTTTGACAAACTGTAGTGCAAGCTACACTGGAGGTGGTACAGTATACGGTATGTACTGTACTGACTTGTAATGCTGTACTTTGCATTTGTCTTTTAGATTTTAGGCTTTTTTAAAGTTATTCACTTCTCCATTGCTTCTATTCATTTGTATTGCAATGATAGACTTGAAATCAAAGGCTACAAGGTATTAAGGTAATAGGATGGCAATTTTTATCTAATCTACTTATGACAGATGTATTTGCAATATAATCCATGTTTCCTGTTGGTATAAATCAGCATGATACCTAGACTTACAAAGCATTAGGAAATCTGACAAATTATATGCTTTAGCTCAGACGTTATTTGCAAGAATCCAGTTGAATGTACATCTCTGTTAAATTTTCACATCCTTATAGCAATAGGCTTCTTTGGGATGTGCTTAAATAGAAATGCTGAAGAGTCTCATGCAGAACTTCTGTACAGAATTCCTAAAATTACTTTTAAATGTACAAAGTGTATACATTTAGTGCATTTTCCAAGTATGTCTTTAGTTTTAAACCTTAACCACTCATTTTTGGATCCAGTTTGTTCTATTTTGTGATACGTTTTTTTCTGGATATTGCCCTTTGAATTTGATTTGGTTGACTTTTTTTTCCTGAAACATATAGGCCTGTATTACCCATATAAGTGTAATAAGACACAAGTAAGTAGGTATTCCATCCACCCATGTTTTGCACATTAGATTGTTTATGAATTGTGTAATAGATACAGGACATGCCTGGTCTCATTTAATTGTTCTCTTTCGTGAAAAAATAAAATCTAAATCCACATGTACAGTTCCTGAATAGTAATCACAGATGAGTTTACAACACGTACAGGAATCGAGTGTTTGGTTTCCGATTGGATTTTTTGAATTGAGACAATTTGAAAATGGATCACTAATGAACAGAGCACTGGAAACTGTTTACCAAAGCAATTAGCCATGTAAACACAGATTCAAAGAATAGGAGATAGTTTTATTCATAGTTTTGACATAGGGGTGCAGTGTGGTATCTTGTCTCTTTTGATACAAGGGTATTAGGAAAAAAAGATATACACTGTACATTACACACAGCTGTAAGGCTAAAAACAGTACTTTTTATTCACAGTGAGGGAAAACTGAAATACACACAGAACCTTAACTCCTCTATAGTATGTAGGTGTAGACAAACCCTGTCTGCGATTCTCATGGAGGGCGTTCATGAGGGAGGAAAGAAGATTGTTGTTGTATTGTTTCCCTCTGAAAACCCTTATCCAGCTCCTGAAAGTCCAAGATTATTTTTGCATTAACCTGAGGGTACGTTTTTCTTGCTCTCCATGTCCATCTCTAGGATCACTCTGCTTTCATGCACTCCAAAGGTACCACTTATTTGTAGTTTCTATAAGCTTTAACTACCTGTACATGCCTCAGTAATAACCTCTCTGCTAAAGGCCAGACATCTCAGCTGTTTGCCGGCATCAAAATCCAAAGCCAACTCAAAATCTCAAAACAATTAAATCCTCTCCATGCGTCCCTAGAGAGGACATCAGATCCTTTGCTATGCTGTGCTTCAGTTGTGGCGTTTGTCATCATATGGAGTACCAGACCCACAATGCATGTTCCTTATTGGTACAGTAGGTTACCCTGGCCCCTGTGAGTGGATTATGACAGGTGATGTCCTGTCAGGATGAGAGTCCAGGTGCGCTTTTGGTTTTGAGCATTATACAGTATCACTCATGTGATATCAGGGTGGACCCATTTTGGCATAGTCTGGGTTTTGGAATGTCAGAGCTGTTAATACTACAGTATGTCCAACCTTAGAAACATCTCTAATGAGCTTGACTCAGAGGAGCTGACCAGTTTCTAAGTTTATTTCCAATACAAGAGAAAGATTATTTCAAAAATCTTTCTTGACTAATTATTTTTCTCCTGGCCATAGTTGTATACATTTCTCTTTGTTATTTACTTACATTTGTGTAATCTACTTACTTGTTCTTCTGTGTGGGTTTGTAACTATGGAACATTACTGCTCTACAGGTATGTCAGTCCACTTAAATAACTTGCCAACAGAAATTTGCTCTTTTCCCTTTTTTCTCCAATCGTTATTTTTGTGTCATTTAGAGAGGCCGAAAACGTTTGTGCTCAGAACCCCCAGAAGGCAGCAGTGGGAGGTGAACTGTGTTTATAGTGCTGGAGTATGCAGAATGTCTCAGCTGTTACTCTTCAGAGGAATAAGTAGTAAAATTGAAACAAGAAATGCATGTGGAGCTTTCTTCTGGTGTTAGGCTGAAATATAAAATTTCTCTCTTGCCCCCTCCTTTAGCAACTTGTTAAAAGCAATTTAGGTCTTTCAGCAAAAAAAATATATATATCAGGAGCCCCTATTAATTACAAGTTAAAGGAGTTGCTATGTATTATATTATGATAGTGTGAGCCCAGGGTAATTCTTCTGATTAATACAACGGAGAGCTCAAAAATGCTCAGCTAGATTTTTCTGGCAGATCATCATGAGGGTGTAGTGGGGAAGAATGGCTCTAACAGTGTCACAGTGGTTTCAGGCTGCAGAGTGGCTACTTTTCTGTTATTATAATATTGCCCCTGTGAGTCCACACATTGTCTGCCTTCCATAAGTCAATTCTGGCTGAAGTAC